AAAATGCGGTGGTTACCCGGTGGTTGTTTGTTTTGAATCGTGGAGCAGTGCTCAAAGGATTCCATTTCATCTGAAGCATTGACTACCCAGTGACAAAAAAGATGAGAATTGTGACACAAAACAGAGCTTGTCTGGCCGTCACAGTATTTCAGATTGCAACATCTCGCAACTCAGGCATGTATTTTTAGCAAGACATACATTACGAACAAGCAGGACTCTTGTGAGCATGAGTTGTTGAATGGCTGAAGTAGGAGCTTCGCTGTTTGGCAAAATAGACACGGCCTGGCTATGAGAGCTATAAGCTTGTGAGGTTCTTGGTTTTGACTCTCTGTGAGCCATGTTGCACCATGTTGCACTAACTCGGATTTTGCAGGAACGAGAGCAGTTCCTGCGGATGCATGTCAAGGACAGAGATTCGGACTTCACTGTGTGACAGCAGTTGGCAGCAAGACAAACCCTTCCATCGCCATCACTTCCAGGACTCGAATGGCATACTGTGGTTCGAGCTGCAAAGGGAATTGGAAAGTATCTACTATCAACGAATTGACTTTGTTGATGTGCTCTCGGCATGTTTTTTGGCGAAACATCTTGAACCTTGGAGTTGCAACCAGGGCAAAACAGCTACTAAACAGAACAAAGGGGCCTGCTGGACCGGAAGATACCGGAAGTGCCAGGTGCAGATGTATCACCCTCTTGCCTGGGGCTTTCCAGATTCCTCAAAGATAGTGACGCCCAATCCTGGGGAGCCGCCGGGTGCCCAAGGGGGGGGTCACAGGCAGCCCCTCAGCCAGGTCGAGGCAACACCAGCGTTTCGAAATCGTGGAAATGATTTTTCCATATGGCAATGATGTCAGTCAATACTTGGCCCCTTCATGGTTCATTTTGGATACAAAACCTGGCTGCATTGAGGATTGATCCATTTCATGGCTGGTGCGCTCGCAAATCCATGGACAGTGTCACGGAGATGGAGGTCCAGAGCTCGGAAGGTTTTTCAAGGGGCGAATACTTGTGGTGACCACAAGTGGTGTGGCAGCTGTGGCACTTGAACCATATTTGAGTAGATTGTTTGGTCAGCATGCAATTCTTGAGTAAAAATTCTTGAACTATGGCCAAATGAGTAGTGCATTTTGAAGGACGCATTCTGTCGACTAAAGACTCCAACGGTTCCGAGATAAACATTGGAGTTGTTGAGCCATCAATTTGATATCATTTTCTTCCGTTGTGGACCAGACATGAGTTGGCAACCTCTGGATTGTGAAGAGAAATGACACCGAAGGATGTTGACTTTCTCTACACTCTTCGCCTGCGCTGCTTTCCTGAAGCCACTTTCCAGGCTGGGTGACAGAACAGTTGCAACATGCATTCTGGAAGCTTGTGAAACTGTGCAGTATTGGCCACTCTCAGGCTCTTTCCTTGGGAAAGATCCCTGCCTTTATCCAGCAGTGCCCCACGATTTTCAGGTATTTTTCTTTCAGTAGGGAACCCTCTTGTTTTTGTCCTCACCAAGACGCTGTCTGTCCGACCAGCGAGCAAAAAAGAAACTCACAGTTGGAAAGGAGTTCTCTTTGAATTGGATTCTGCGGAAAACTGCAACGAAGGACGCGCGGGTAAACTGTTTCCATGCCATTCTCCAAGGATGTCCAAGCAATGGCAAGACTGGAGTCCACCGGAGGTACATCGACATCCACAAAGACACCTTGGAGGAGGAAGATGAGGAAGTGGAGAAAACCGCTTTGGAAGACAGCGCACAGATCTCGGATGCTTCTCCCAAAGTGGATTTACATTTACTGCACCTGATTGTGTAGCCATTTTCATGTGGAAAAGAAGTGTGTTCAACCTGTTCAACCATGCGAGTTTGGGGTAGCTTGTATTACTGAGATTATTACTGTACTGGACAGACCCGGAGATTGCCATTTGGGAAAAGATCCAACAGAATTTTCTGGCTGTTGAGGCTGCCAACAAACCCCTCTGGAAGGACGAGATGTTAGACTATGGCCTGGGTGCCCAGGACTTGTGATTCTCGGACCAGTGCCTGCAGCCCGCAATGCTCACCTTGAGGGAAACCTTCAAAACCCCAAAACCCCAGGCCTTCGGGAAGAAGAGGAGACGCGTGCCTCGCCGGAAGAAATCAACCGCCAGCAGAAAGGCCGGAGAGACCCCAAGGGTCTGCTTGCAGAAAGAAATACATGGATGTTTGAAAACAGATCCGCCTAAATCAATTGGGTTTCATTACAGTATCCGTATTTATCAATTGGAGGCAAAACCAATTGGGGCAAGACACACGAAGTTCTCTGCCACAAAGTAGCGGAAGCGCTCGAAGTTTTCCGCGCCGCAATCGGATCTGGCCAAAGTTCCCTCCCACTTAAGCCGTCAAGGCAAGGAGAGGTGAAATGTGAAATGCTGAATCAGAATGAATCAATGAGGCAGTCTTCTCTGTTTAAAGAGCTGCTGCAAGAATCTGCAAAAGGACATGTTCCATGGGTTGCATGGCATGCAATCAACACGGAAGGGAAGTCCTTAAAAGAAAAACATGTCCGGCTCTCACTCTATGACTGTCTGCATGTAGTCCCAACGTCCATGTTGGTGAAAGAAAGCTGCACAATCTTCAAAGAATGTGGTTCCTGAGTCTGGATGTCTGGTCCAGGGTGGCAGGAAATCATGATGACAACCAGAGCAGCTTCTTCTACGTCGCACTCTCTCAGAATTTCGCAAATGGGTGCATCGATCAGAGCTATGCCAGCATTCCCCTCGTGGGGTGGTATAGATGAAGAAACCTGTCAAGATTTCGAGCTCCACCAAAATGCGGTCAAGTAGACCACTGGCCTTTCGAACGACCCTTTGATCTTCTTCTCGCTCTTCACTGCGGATCCTGTCATGATCCAAAACTTTCAACTGCAGGTCTTGTCTTTGCCAGTCAACGTCTATGATTTCATTACGAAGTTTCCTGATCTCAGCACGGAAGTATTCATTTTGACGGTATAGTTCAAGCCGTGCTCGATCCATTTCCAACCATCGGCGTCTCATCAGAAGTGCCGCACAAAAACAGCAAACGGAAAAGACAAGGTTGAAAAGGAAGATCACCCAAATCCAGTGAAAACCAGTGTGAGCAGTCGCGCTCGAGTTTTCGCCCAGCGCACATTGATCACGCCAGTCGTGGTGTTTGTCCACCATTGGCCACAGGGGGTCGCCCGCGCAACCAGCCAGCAGTGACAGCGCCATGACATACTTTAGACAAGGCCGCGCGACATTGCTCGCCCGGGCAAAGCTCTCCACAGGGGCTTTGACATTCACAGGAACAAAGGTCTCCGCAGGAGCTTGGGCATTCACAAACGTGTTGGCATTCTCAGTCACTAGGTCATTCGCGGGGTCAAGGGACTCGGCAGAGGCCAGGACATTCTCAGGAGAGTGCATGGGGTCAGAAACGTCATAGAGGTCAGAGTGCAGGACATTCTGAGGCACAAAGGTCTCGACAAAAGTGGCTTCATCCACCGAGACGTGCGCATCGTCAAGGAGTCTTTGCTCTTCGCAGAGATGTTTCTCATCCACGGAGCCATAGATCTCGTCAACGTCCATTGATTCAGTCCACTGCGGACGGTCATCATGCGTACCTTCTTCTGCTGCTTCAGTAGAAAGGTTGTGTGTGGTGTTGTGGTGAGTGTTGGTGGTAGTTGTTGAAAATTCCTGTCTGCTCCTGGCTCTCTGAGAAGCTGTCTTCTTCTTGGAGGCCGTGTACTCTGGGTCAAAGGTAAACTTGATGGCTCCATGTCTCAACCTGTCGCTCAGTAATTGTCGAGCGGCAACTTTTGTAAAGCCATCTCCAAACTGTCGCTCAGATGAAATCCATTTGAGCAAGCCACCGACACTTTCAACTTGTTCGCGGATCACTCGAAGCTCAAGGTTGGTGCGTTTGTCAGTCGCGCCATGGTTGATGCTGTCTCGATGAAAACTGTCGTACAAGGCCTTGGCATCTGTGATGAAGGTTGGAGTCAAGGTCGTGTTTGTGATCTGCAAGGTTTCCCGTAAAGTCAATCGGGGATCCATCATCATTTGCCAAAACCGCACCACAAACTCGGTGCTATCCACTGCTGCTGCAGCTGATTGAACTTCTGCTGCAAGACTGGAACGTGCCACTCGAGGCAGTCGCATGCTGCGCCATTCCAAAAGATGATATGGAGATTCAACTCCTGCATAGGCATCTTTGTGTGTCAAGAGAATGAGAAACCCCCCTTGACTGGAACCGTCGTGTCGTACACCAAGTGCTGCATCAAACATGCAAGTGATCCTCAAATCCTTCAGGTCTCCAAGTGGTGGAAATCGCAGGTGTACATCACTGTTGCTTTTTGCAAACCGCAGCAGCCGATTTGCTTCGAGCAAGGGGCTTGAAAGTCCAGAACTCATCTCACCACTCAAAAGTGAAGTGGAAGCTTGGAGGTGTGGTGATGACTGCACGGCAGGCCACTGCAAGCTACCCAGCAACTGTCGCAACATAGTATGCTCCCTGTCAGACATAGGTTGGTGAGGCTGTCTGCTCTTTTCCAAGGGTAGAGGAGAGATCTTGCTGATGTAACTCTGATGGTCCACATGCCACGTGCCGTCATCATCGCGGTACATCTTCGCACCGCAATACTCAAAAGGCTCATCTTTCTGCCATGTGCGAAAAGAAAACGCTTGCTTCAATGCAGCTTCAGCAGCCATGTATGTTTGGGACTGAGGGTTCCCTGTTCCTAACATGTCATCAACATGGAGGGTCAAAAGTCCACAAAGAACAGGGCATTCACCTTCGGTTGCAGGCTCAAACAAACGCCAGAGACAAGGATCCAAAGGATGAGGTGTCCAGCCAAGTGAAGTCAATCTTCTGGTTGCTTCCAAGTACCATCGCTTTGGTGCATCCAGCTGCCCATAAACTGGCTTGATCAGGAGCATGCGGGTGTTTTCATCACCGCCCAGAAGTCGAAGCGCGTCTGGAGGCAATTTAACCCATAGCTTGCGCTCTTGTGGTAACCCCTGCAAGAAGGCTGTCGTGACATCAGCGCTCCAGCCGCACCAGTGCAAATTGGCTGAAATGCTGAGGAGGCAAGCACGCCCCAATCGAGTTGAGGCAGGTGATGCCGTGTCCAATCTGCCAGCCAGCGCATCAGCGTCCGTGTAACCCCGAACCACTAGGCGAGCTTTTGCTCGGGGTGAGCCATCTGGCTGTTTGGCCCATTTGAGTAGCATGCGGCTGCTCATAGTTCTGTTGGGATCGGCTTCTCGGGTGGTTTCAAAAGTCCACACCCCGTTTTCGAAAAACGAAGCCAACTCCTTCATCTTGGCCTGCTGAAAAAGTAGTCGATCTTGTAGACTAAGTTTGCGCTCTGAGATGTCGTTCTTGTTGTTGTCCTTGCGTATCTTGCGTTGGGCAACTACTTTCTGCTTCTTCCCAACTTGTTTCGCCGAAGAGACAGAGTAGGCAGTCATTCCTAACTCTTGTCTTGTGGCGCCGTTGATCTGAAAGATGGTGCAGCCGACCCATGGCTTGTTCGTTGCTGAGGACAAGTCGCCAATGACATCGTGGTAGTGTCTGACCTCGTTTGGTCCAGTGCAAACTGTCACTCTAGTAGGGTCAAGCTTGTCCAAGGTGATGGGGATGTGGCTCTTGTCCTTCTCTGACATCTTGTTCGGATCAAAGCGAGTTCTTCGAGGAACCACATGGTGCCGAATCAGGCATCCGCTCTTGATCTCCCAATAGTCCTTGGGCTGCTCGGTGAGCTGAATGTAGCCATTTTCAAATTTCCAGCCAGATGGGAGTGCCGATGAATCCAAATCTTCGACATCAAAGGCAGAAAAAACAAAGGATGCTCCATCGTCCTCCTTGGGCTTGGTGTATGGGCCCTCAACATGTGTTGAATCAGGAGGTGCTGATTCAGAGGCTTGTCGACGACTTCGAAAAGGTCCAAATGACATAGTCTCTTGTTGTTGTAGCCGTCGTCGATGTGCTCTGAAGTCTTCAGCAGTTGCAGGCTGGTAGTAAGAAGCTGTGATGGAATCCAATTGTGGTTGTGATGATGAAGGGATGCTGGAAGGTGGAGGCATGTCAGAGGTCGTTGGCCTGTTGGCTTGTGTTGGGCTTGGTTCTCTTGATGGTTCACCAACACTGATGGGGACATCCATGGAGGTGTCCAGTGGAAGCGCAGGATGCTGCTGGGGACCAGGCTCCTCAAGTCCAATGGGAGCTGGATCTGAAAGTCCAAGATCCATGGTATGTTCTGGTCCAACAGAGGCTCCAAGTCCAGGTGAGCCATGACTCAAAAGTCCAGGTGAGTCGCATGCAAGTCCAGGCAAGCCAGCAGCTGTGTTGTCATCATTGCCAACCTCGTCATCAACAGGCATGGGAACCTCCTCATTGAGAATGGAAGGCTCGTAGGACAATGAGGGGGCTGGTGAGCCTGGAAACTCAGGGTCCACAAGACGCCACCGTTGGCGAGGTGGTGGTCCACCATCCAAATCGTCATCATCATCCAGCACTTCATCGTCGCTGTCCACGTCATCCAAGCTACGCTTGTTCGTGATGGTCAGGTCGGTGTAGCGGGTGACGCCTCGGGACTTCAGGTTCTGGATGACGTTCTTGGCTACCTCAAAGTCACCCAGCAAGGTGGATGCACTGCGTCCAATCTCAGGTCGGACATGATGGGGCGCACAACGGAGCAGTTGTGACTTGTGCCCAATCCAATAGATGCGGGGCTTCCCACTTTCAGGGTCGTCCTCTCTCATTAGGACAGTTGCAGGCCCCTTCCATCTGATCTTCTCCAAGTCGGTTGCTCTGGCATCACGCCAGTAGAAGCAGGGTTGGCCTGGGGCCAACAGCACATTTGTGCCGGCGTATCGCCGAAGCAGGGCACGGCGCAACTTCTGGTCTGTGTCTGCTTGGACTATTGCCATCTTCGCCACAGCACGTCGGGAGAGCTCATCTTCAAAGGTGGCGCCAAGATGGACTGGATTCAAGTTGTTGCCAAGCAGTTCGCCAGGAAAGGACGGTGACTGTCCGAGTGCCCATTGTGCAGGTGAAAAGCCAGAGGTGCCAGGGTTGTTGTTCATCTGAGGCACCACATATGCAAGGGCTTGTCGAACTGCCGAGGCACCACTCATTCCAAAATCCATCAGGTAGACCTCAACAGCCTTGCGAAGTACGGCATGCCTCCGTTCAACAAGAGACAGCCGTTCGTGGGCTTCTCCGGCAGCTACAACATGTTGAATGTTCAAAGAGTCAGTCCATGCCGCAAAGTCATCATGCAGCCATCCCCTCCCCTCGTCGGTAATGAGACGCTGGGGGGTCCCAAAGTGAGCAATCCAGTGACGCTCCAAGGATTGAATGTAGTGCTCGGCCTTCTCAGTGTCGATCACGCAGGCTCCTTGGAACTTGGTACCTTCATCCACAATGGATAATACCGGAATCTTGTTGTCACCGGTTTTGATCCACATGGTGTCAGCCTGGATGCTCTGATTGAAACGGAACACCGTTTTCATTGAAGCAGGTGCAGCTTGATTCGGCTTCTTGTACTTGAGGCAGGCTTGGCACTGGAACGTGCGAGCAACATTGACAACTGTCTCAGAGGCCTGTCTGGATTCAAGCATCTCAACCAAGGCAGTGGTCGTAGGATGACCCAAATTGCGGTGAAGCCGCTGAACTGCTCGAATGGCCTCGGCCTTGTTGGTGGTCATCAGCTGAATCAGTTGACCTTGGATCAACTTCTCTTCATTCACAGCATGGGCTTCCTCCCAGAAAGCAGGAGGTTCTGGGGCAGCCAGAGCGGCGGCCAAAACAGCAGCCATCGTTGGTTGATAGTCCTCCATGAAAGAGGTACGAGACCTGCCGGAACCAGGCATCTTGCCTTCGAGTCTGCAGTGTTCATGGGATCCATCGCATCGAAGTTGCAGTGCTTGGGCAACAGCTCGTTTCGTGGTCTGCAAGGAAGTGGTCTTGCGAGTCAATCGCCAAACCCCATCAACATCTAAGCAGCAGGCTCCATACTGACACATATCAAACGTTGTGCGAAACCCAGGCAAGGACTTCAGATTCTTTGTGTGCCAACTGAGTGCAGTGTGGGGCTGCTCCAGGTGCGCATGACGGCCACCACGAACTTGCCGAAGATAAATCTTCCTGCAAAAATCCGAATGGATGTCGTGGTGAAGCTGTCGTTGTTCTTGCAGAAGGGCTTGTCGCTCAGAGGTGGTTGCACTGATGGCCTGCATGCGAGACCAGAGAGCACAACGAGGAGCCAAAAGTATCTCATCGGGCATGTCCTCGTCAAGCTTGTGGAGGAGTGCAGCTCGATCGGAAGCACGATCGAAATCCCAACCTGTTTCATACCCAAATGTGCAAACTTCACAACCGAGGGCTGATGCAACTTCGCTGACTCTGGAGGTGCCAGCATAAACTTCCCAGATCAAACGTGGTCGTGGTTGAACATCATGGAGCTCCTGAGTGACCATGCGATTGATCTGGTTCTCAGCAGTTGCAAGGGCATTCTCAAAAGTTTTCCAATGCTTCAGGATGATCTTCCGGTCACCCTCGGCCCAGTCAGCATCAGTGGTCGTGTAGATGCCCTCAGACTTCTGGTAGGTCAAAAAGTCCAGGACCTGTGGTGGGTCGCCAGGAGTCTGAGTTTCCATCAAGGTAAGGTCAAAGGCAGGCATCTGGCCGATGAGCTCGAAGTCAAAGTCCTCGGTGAGGGACATGAGGTACTCACCATGCAAACCCATAGTGATAGGTCGCCAAGGGTGTCCTTCAAACATCATTGATCGCCGCTTGAAGTTGACGACGATGCCGAGCTCTTCAATGATGGGGCGGCCCATCAGCATCGGAGTTTCTCCCTTGATGATGAACGCCTGTGCAAATCCAAAGGCGCAGTTGATGAACATCGGAACCTTGGCAACCCAATGGCTTGTTGTGGAATGATCGCCACCGAAATGGAAGGTGCGATTGGTTCTCTGCATCTCGATGGAGTCCACTGGGTATCCAAGTTCACGCAAGTGATCCACATAGCGGTGGAATGGCCCGCTTCCCATCAAGAAAGCGCTCGCACCAGGATCAAGCATCGTACAGTCAACTCTGGGCTGTCCGTTGGTGTCCTCAAAGATGACATGGCCACATTCAGTTGGAAGTTGAGAGACTGCCATGCCTTCAGTGGTGTTCTGCTTCTTTGGACCGGGGGCCTGTGACGGTGGCCCCGAATGCTTCTGCGGCTTGGGACACTGTGCAGCTTGGTGACCATAAGCTCCACAACGTAGGCATTGCAACACAGCTGAGGCACGGCCGCGGGGATCCACGGCCTTTTGAGGAGGCCTGGCATACTTCACAACGTTGGAGGCCTTGCCACGGCCTTTTGGCTTCCCCTTGGATTTTCCCCCGCCAGTGCCTTTCCCTTTTCCAACAGGTAGCTGAGATGAAGAGGCAACTGGTAGAGCACCTTGATCAGCAACGGCCACAACGGGGTAGAACCCCCTTGAGAGTTTCAAATCTTGGAAGCGACGACGAGCATCCAAGTATGCCGCAAATGCCTCATCGTACTGCTCAGTGTCAAAGGCTTCATCAGCCGCAGCATGTCCATGTTCAGAATCTTCATAGTAGGCAGCTTGGGCATCAAACGAATCGTCAAACCAACCATCATCGTTGGCCGCATATTCAGAAACGTCGTCATACTCAAAATACCCCTCTTCGTCAGGCTCATAGAGCTCGTCAGGAAGCTCGTCATCATCCAAGGCAGCGTAGGCACCACGACGAAAAAGTCGGCCGGAGCCCGCTCGTCGATGGTGGTCGTGAGAGACAGCAGACTTGTGGTCCTGTCCCAAAATCAGGTACAGGGATTCCTGTACCTTCAACTTCTCCAACTTTGGTGCCTGAGTGATGATCATCTGACGCTGCTCCTTGATGATGTTTGCCTTCTTCAGCAAAAGCCATCCTTGGATCTCTGAAGGGATCTGGATGCCGTGCTCTTCAATCTTGCGAAGCTTCTCATCATGGTCAGTCACAAAGTTGAGCAAGGTTTCACCTGGTCGGCGGCTCAGGTGAGTGAAGTAGGCATCAAAATCCTGAGGCAATCTAACACGGGCATCGTAATGAAATGCCTTGTCAAGCACTTTCAACAGAGACTCGAAAGTGCCATCTTCATCGATCTTTGTGAGGTCAAAATTCTCAACCAAACGCCATGCAGTACCCTGAAGAGATCCAATGATGTTCAAAATGCTTTCAGCCTTTCGTTTCTGAAGACCCATTTTCAAATGGTAAATATTGATCCGTTTCCTCCACTCCTGATACGAACTTGGCTGGCCATCAAACAGTGGAATAAACGAATCCTTGGTAATGCCACTATCAAACTGACTGGACTGTGCCGTGGACATTGTGCCTGCAGTTCCTTGCCGTGCTTGTTTGGCAGCACGTGGAGTTCCAGGCTTGGCCTGCGGTGGCATCCACTGGCTCAGAGATCGCTGTACCTTTGGTCTCAGAGATCAAGCCAAAGCAAGAGTCCAGGAAGTTGATGTGTAGTAGATGGAGTCAGGAAGGTGAAGGTAGAAGGAGATGGTGATGTCAAAGTAAATGGAGTTGCGCAGCAGTTGTTGAAGCCCAAACCCAAAGGCTCAGGCTCCGCCTACCAATATCAATTGGAGGCAAAACCAATTGGGGCAAGACACACGAAGTTCTCTGCCACAAAGTAGCGGAAGCGCTCGAAGTTTTCCGCGCCGCAATCGGATCTGGCCAAAGTTCCCTCCCACTTAAGCCGTCAAGGCAAGGAGAGGTGAAATGTGAAATGCTGAATCAGAATGAATCAATGAGGCAGTCTTCTCTGTTTAAAGAGCTGCTGCAAGAATCTGCAAAAGGACATGTTCCATGGGTTGCATGGCATGCAATCAACAGTATTAAAATAACTTGGGGGTACACCCCATTTTTGGACACCCAGATCAGGCAAGGTCGGATTTTCGAGAGGTTCATGAGCAGTTTTGAAACGTGCTAAACGTGTATCGCAATCTTTTGATGGAACAACTGCTATGGCAAGGCAACACCGGGCCCGATGTGCTGGATGCACAAATCAAGCAGTTCAAGTTGAAGGGCTTGAGCGCCATGCGGGTCTTCCTGCGGACCCGTGGCATTCCAGACAACATGAAGCAGCAGGAAACCCAGAGAATGGGTGGGAAAGGACTTCACCACTTCTCAGGGACTAGCTCAAAATAGATCAGGATCACCACCCAACATGGATTAATGATGTTAAGTGATGTTAAGTGATGTTAAATAAGCCAATCTGATCCATACCAGCCATAGCACTGTGAAATTCGGCTGAGGTGCCAAATTACCCCAAAGATGGTCAAAGACATGGCGGCACAGCTGGGAGTTCGGGCGAATCCTGACTTGTACTGGTACTGCTTGCCGGGAAACCCAAGGAGAACCCGAGGTGCCGAACCCTTCCAGGGGAACCCTTCCAGGGGAACCCAGGGGGCGTTGTTTCGTGTCCTGCACTTGCAGGTTTGCGCTGCGCTACTCGCTGGCTCCCGAATGGGAGGCAGTTTCTGCTTCGGAATGTTGTGACAGAACTGAGAAAGTCTGAGGAACCTAAAGATTTCGAAGCAATTGCAGTCATTGCATCTTGCTCTCTTACAAAAGACATGTAACAGTTGAGGGATCTATGATGTCATCAGGACACGTTTTGGCTGACGGTTTAATACATATTATCATGTTCAAGCAAGAGCATGGGATGATTTCCCATATGACTAAAATACATGTATACACAACTACATTATACTATATATCATATCATATACACTATAGAGTACACCATGCTAATTATAAATATTTACTATATATTTCACTATATATTATACGATACATTATACTGTACTTATACTATATATGATACTTATACTAAATATATTATACAATATATTCTATATATTATATTATATATTATACTTTGTATTATACCACATATTGTGCGATATATATATAATTCTATATATTACACTTTAGATATGCTATACATTATACCACACATTATATAGTATATGTAGGTTATATACACATTATATAGTATTTGTAGGTTATATATTATATCATATACTATACTATATAATATACTACATCATCTACAACATACATGTATACATACATATACATATATATATAATAGACACATGTTATTATACACATTTAATGCCTTGGGCCTTGGATGGGCTTTTTCACCAACCTTGTCAACCATGTTTGTCAACCGTGTCCGTCCTTGTCCAGGTCATCGTGAAGCAAGATACGCGTTTCTATGTGCACCTGCCATCGGATCGCATGCAGATTGTGCATCCAATGATCAGGCAACGGCGGCAACGGGGTGTATAAAATCGCTGGTGGATTCGCCTGAAAATGGGAAACTCCAATGGGCATCGTTGGAAAATCATGAACTCTCTCCGTAAAGACATGGTAACACGGCTCCTCACACCCCTGCGTTTTTGACTTCAATGTACAAAAAACGCCTCATGTTTTGCAATTTCATGAATGATGTGTTTGGATCATGTGACGACGAAAAGTTTAATCTGCACGTGTTCCATCCTTTTTTCATGTTGTCTGTCAGGTGTCACTTTGCCAAACTGTGCGTGAAAATCCATTGGTAGGTTCTGTCCCAGAGAAGATATAATAACGTAGCATCAAGTGCGTGTGCAAGATTGTGCAAATGCAAGAGATCATATGATAACGTAGCATCCCGTCCGTGTGCAAGCGTAAGAGAAGATATCATAATGTAGCCTATCCTATGTGTGCATGTAAACATCAACGTTGTTGCCCCGCCCCACCCCACTCCAGATGACAACGCCTTCATGGGTGTGAGAATGCGTGTCACCAAAAACGCGGAAATGTTGGCTTTCTTTTTTTGGACAAACCCACAGCGGTTGGATGTAGATTCGTAACTTTTGTTATCTGCCAGGAATCTAATGTGGCACTGGGAAAGGGACACAGTGGTTCTTGGTTGATCGATTCTGTTCCATTTTGCTAGCTGCTAGTTGAAAAGGTTCCATTTTCACAACCCAGAACCGCAGATTTTGATCAATCAAAACTCCAAAAACACTAACACCTTGAACGATGCTCCAATGGGTTGCCAACTGCCAAGCACGGCCAGGCGTTTCCGCGAGCATCTTGAGGATGGCAGTTGAGCCCTGATTCCTTCGGATGATCGCGGGGATTGTTATTTTTTTATCCGTTATTTATATAATGGCCATAAACTGGGGCAAAAATTGTACTTTTGGACATGGCTTGAAGATATCAAAGTGCTGTATGTCAATATTCTAGTATCTAGTATTATCTAGTAATATTTTCTGTTGACGTCAACGGCGAAAAAAGCAATTGTTGTGCAGGACACTCGACAGAATGAGTTCCTTTGGGAGTTGCTTACTCAGTGTTACATTGGGTTCAAAGTGTGGGTCGGGTTCGGTGTTGATTCTTAACAATTCCTAAGCCTCAACCTTGGATGATCTTGGATGATTTACCACAAACATGACTGATTTGGGTTGGTAACCAAGATTTGCCGGTGATCTTCGTACAAGGGGCAAGCGGGGGCCTCCTCCAATGGAGACCAATCAGAACGCTACTTTTCCCATGCGCCTTAAACCAGGTTTTCATATGTTTTCATATGTTTTCATACCGGGTTATGTTTTCATCACGTTCCTCAGTTCAGATCTACAAAGTTTCTGGTACGATTCTGGGCACTGAGGTATCGTGGCTTTGTGCAGATGAAGTGCAGCGAGTTCTGCCGACATGGCATCAAGCTCTGCGCACTGCAGTTTGGAAAGGAATGGAAGGGAGAAGTTCCAGCTATATAATCTAGTTACTAGTTGATTACTGGTCAAAACCAAGGACTTCAAAATGGGGATCTCATTATACGAGCATCCCACCTACTTCTAGTTTATTTGGCAATGAGCATTCGTTCAAGCAGCCAGGTGTGGTATTCCAGATGCGATCGTTTGGTGCCAGCAGTGTGCTCTGGCCCCGCTTGAATGGTGGTGTGGGTGTAGGTAAAGGGTCATCCCACCATCATTAGGGATTCCCCACTTAATAGGTATATTACCCTCTGGTAAACTAACTATGGAAAATCACCATTTTTAATGGGAAAATCCACTATATCTGGCAATTTTCAATAGCAATGTTAAATTACCAGAGGGTAAGCCCAATGAAATTGGGGGGCCATCCCTATGCGAAAGTCTTTTTCAACTTTCATGGCACATATCCAATGAGCACCATGGGCACCAGGATTTTGATCGCCATGTTCTCCCTGTTGATGGCTTGATGAGAGATGTCCGCTCTCATTGGCGCACAGGTACAGACTACTTCTGCGCCACTTGCTTCCTTTCGTCTCATAAGTTAGGGAAGCCCAGTGAGTTCAATGCGGGAGTTTAAGTGACCAGCTGTGCGAATGTTTCCAGATATTTTAACTGCTTCAGCAGATCTTGAAGCTGCATCACCCGGTGGAGGATTTTGCTTTCCAAGGTCCGCTCGCGGCAAGAAGCATTGGCCTTCTCCTATTCCCGGCTGCAGATACCTGACAGCGTCAGAGGCCTGCTTCGGAGTCTGGTGTCTTATTTTTTGATGTGTTTTTTTTTCTGGAAGACATGGCATGGTCATGAATAAAGACGGGCATACAGCAGCAAATTTACTGGTTCTGGATCTGAGCAGTTCATGACTTTTTGACTAGCTGGCACGATGTACCCGAATCCACGGGCATATTGGTGGGATGAGTTGAAAGGATCAAGGCCTGAAACGCGGAAACTCATAGTGACAACTTCGAGTAAATTTGTTGAGCACATTTCCAGACTGTCAAGTAGCTCCAAGAATATGCATTGTTCAACAAGCTCACCTTTCAGCAGGTTACAAGGCAGTTCCTTAGTTACAACTCCAACTATCCCCTCTACAAGTGATGATGGAAATTCCTGTGTTGTAGTCCTTTCAGTCGCAGCCGTTGTCGCTGTGCCAGGCAGCCAGAATGCATGATCACCTGCCCCTGCTGAACGTGGGATTTTCCATGCGCCGACGCTTTCTGGCGCGGGATAACCAGCCTGGAGACCAGGGAGCCTCCGGAAGTGTGGGGAATAGCATGGAATAGCTTGGAATGGCCCCGATGTCAATACCGTGCCCTACCCACATGGTTGGTCAATGTTGGTTATATCAGTATATTCCCAAGGATTTGTTGGTTGGCCAATCTCATCTCAACATGCCCATTGTTTTGGTCGTGGAATCCACCTATGCCACGAGCGCGTTCAGCGAATCGCACTGAGGTCCGACCGAAATGGTTCCAGAAGTGGTGACACGTGGCTCTTCTTCCACGCTCCTCGGAGGGGTTATGTTTTGATGCTGGAAATGGGGGATGGGTCCCCATTTTATGGACATTTTACTGGTGAAAATGAGGTTTCAAGCATTTTGGGATGTAATGGTGATCTAAATGAATTGACAGCTACGAGCCTGTGAACTTTCGCGTTTTTTGCTTTCGATTGTGGCTTCTGCTCCGCTCATTTTTCACTTCGTTAAGTTGGTCCAGTCTGCTGGGGGATGACCAAAAAAGTGGCCAAGGCAGATACCTTTGAGGCTGCGCTGTTGCAAGCGCCCGAAAAGCATTGGTTTCTGAAACGCCTGGTGCCTGGGATGGTGTCTGCGCCATAAATGAGCGAAACTTCCAAGTTCCAGGAGCATCAGGAGCTTAACGATGCTGTGGCAACTTAAAATGCAATAGTGTGATGGATTGCTTGAAGAGGTTGACTTTCTAAACCTCCTGACATGCGTGTGTAGTAGCTTCCTCTATATTGAGAGTGGCCTGAGAAGTTTGGTTGGACCGAGCGAATACCAGACTTTTGATTTCTCAGTACAGATGCCCGGGGCAAAGGCCTGAAACCTCCTCGCTTGGCCCCAACGGCAGAAGGCCTGAAGCCCTTCAGGGGGTAGGGATCGAAGTCATTCAGTGTGCAAATTGAACTTTTGCAGCTGCAGGTTACTACTACAACTTCCGAAACGATGTGATTGCAGATGATCCATCGCACATCATGTTGTTGACTCAGCCATCATTGCAAAATGCAAGCAAGGCTCCAAAAAGGGGCACAGTACCGAGTACCAGAAATCTGGTGATTTGTAGTATTTTCCATCACATTTTATTTTTTAGGGCTAATAATTTTCAGCAGTGCAGTGGGCACCGGTTTCTTGGAAGCACTCTGAAGCAGCATGTTCTGAAAAAGCATTTTGGGATATTCATGGGAAATACATGGAAATACTGCCAGCATTTCTATTACAGAAGAGCTTGCTCGAAAATGTGGAATTTACCTGGAACATATCAATCATCATTATAAGTGTGAAAAGGATGATCAACCAGTTGATTTAGTTTTCGTTGCCCCATTTTTTTTTGAGACAAAGCCGTTGATTTCAGGTCCAAAGCCCATGAGCAAAAAGCAATTGCCCTGCTACAGAAGAACATTCGCGGCGCGATTACGCGGAAACGCATCCAGAAGGAGCTGAAGGCGGCCAAAGTCATCCAGAAGAGTAAAAGGATGCCAGTAGCTCAGGTGCCATGTAGATCTCCAAACTGGAACAAAAAATGGAGGTGATTGGTCCAGGGACGATTTTCAACCATTGTGGGGTCTTTGATTCTGATCCTCCCAAGAGTTCAAAATTCTTGTGATGAGCTGGTGCGGGCGGCAAAATATGCACTATGTTAGTGTGGAGTTGCAAATGGGTCAAGCCACAAAAACAGTGGCTTGACTCCAGAAAGGCACCAAAACATGACCAGAGAAACAACAAAAAACATGAGGATGGCAATATCATGCTGTAAATCCTGTCGGTTCCCGGTACCGAAGTAGTAGAGAACCCATCGCGCCGTCATCCCAAAAATGTCCTGAAAAGATGGGACCAGGGGCGCGGTCTCAGGTGGGACGTGCGGAAGGTGAAGACGGAGACGGCGAGAAATCTCCAACTGCTCAAAGGCACCAGGGAGTCAGGTGGTGACTGGGTCAACAATTTGAGACACCTGAAATCACTGATGGTTTGGTCATTTTTTGTTGGCAGCATTTTGAAGCCTCTTGTTTTTGGATCTCATGCCGATAGCCCAGTTCTTCTGGGTGGAACCTCTGCATCAATTTGCTGACCACCTTGGATGCAGGCTGGTACATGAGATACCAGTCTAATGAGAAGCACGAGAAAGTTCGCCACCGCGTCTTCCTCTCAGCACCTGAAGGTCAACTCATGCGCTTCAGCGTTGGTAGCTACTGTCATTCTTGAATTTCTGATCTGTCAATGCAGCCATTACACAATTGATCAGCACGCAAACACGTCCTGTTTACTGAGGTCACAAGATTCCAGGCAGTTTGGAGAGGATACATGGTGAGATGTGATCACTTTCAAACGAGCGGATCTCAGCAAGTGGCTTGAGTTGTTCGAACATGGGGTATACACCAAATCTGCCCCATTTAATCATCATACATTTTTTGACAAAACTGCCATACAATTCAGTCAAGTGTCTTTTTCTTTCCGATCCACCCATATCACATTTTTGCTTGTATCATGTTATACAATCAATGACATATATATATATATATCAATGTATATACATTACATACATAATATATGTATATAATGTATATATATATGATATTATGTATATAGATATAATGTATATATATATATATATCTATCTATAATCTATATATTATGTATATATATATATATCTTATGTATACATATATATATATATACATATGTATTGTGATTCCAATAGATATGAACCTTGATCTCTGCAGGCATGGTTAACCTCACGCTAGGATCCAGTGAAAGGGGAGTCCAACAATCATCAACTGCAGCTATAAGGCTGAGGTCAGCCCGGGTGTGTTTGAGGGTGGGTTTCTTTAGCTTGAAGCCATTGGACTTGCCGCGGACGGCATCACTTTCATTGGAAACTGGTTGGAGAAAGGACTTGGTGGTCGAAAGACCTTGCGCATCGCTGGCTGAGGAAAAGCAGCCGTTTGCCTTGCTAGGTGACAGGGTCACCATTGTTGTTGAGCTGCTACCTTTGTGATCCATTCACATTGGTAGCGGAGCTACCACAAGCTCCAGGACCATTTGGGACGTCAATCTTGGATCGTTTTGGAGACTGCAGAGAAATACAAATCAGGGTACAACACTCACCGCTGAAGCCGAGGGTTCCAGAAGTTCCATGTCCGCAGAGAGCCGTGAAGGTTCCACAACCCATGTGTCGTCACAACTGACCACTTTGGTCCCTACGTTTGATCCCTCAAAGGATGAACTCGAACAATATGTGCAGAAAATTGAGATGTTAACTGAAATCTGGCCGGCAGAGAAGTTGAATGAACTTGCAACTCGCTTGATCTTAAACACTTCAGGTGCCGCCTTTCAGAAACTCCAGCTGCAGAAGACCGAAATCCTGACGAATGACAAAAAGGGTATCGAGTGTTTGGTGAAAGCCTTGGGTGGACAATGGGGTAAAGTGACCCTGGAGAAGAAATACGAGGTGGTTGAGAAGGCCTTGTTTAGGTGTATACAGAAAACAGATGAATCAAATGATTCCTACCTGGCACGAACTGACGTATATTGGACAGAGCTGTTGTCAAAGAAGATGTCTATGGAGGAACTGAGATCATACATAGTGCTTAGGGGTTCACTTTTGAGCCATGAGGACAAGAAACGTGTGATTTAGGAAAGCGATGCAGCCGGTTCAGGCCAACTCTCCATGGACAAGGTGAACCAATCTGTCAGAATGCTAGGCTCTGGATTCTTTCAGGAAATGATCGGCATAAAGAAAACCAAGGGTAAGATCTATGATGCAGCCAATGTGACAGTTGAAGAATCTGAAGATTCCTCATGGGAGTCGACTGCGTTGGTCTCTGAAGAGTTTACGGAAGAGGATATGATCGATGCCCTAGCACAGGAAGGTGACGAAGATGCACTTTTTGTGAGTGAATATGAGTTAGCCATGGCAGACACAGTGCAGGATGACTCTGAGCTGGCAACAGCCCTGACAGCATACACCGACGCCAGAAGGCGCTTGAGCGAACGTTTCCGCAACCGTGGATTCTGGCCTGTGAGTTCCCAGAAGGGAAAAGGTAAGGGTTTCAAGGGAAAGTTCAAAGGTGCCCAAAAGGGTCAGAGGAAAAGCCTGCAACAGAGAATCCTCGAGTCGTCATGCCGCCTTTGCGGCAGAAAAGGTCACTGGAAAGCCGAATGCCCTGACCGCAACAAGCAGTCTGGTTCCAGCACAGGTTCGACAGCACCCACCTTAACTGCCGAGCCGAGTGATACGACCATGAGCCATGCTGATGAATTCCTCCCTCTGGAATTTCTGCAGTTGCCTGAGATCCAAGAGACAACCCTGGATGAGCCCAAACTGCACTCAGCCTTTGTAAATGTTGTGAACCTCAGGGGTAAGAGGTATGTTTTATCTGGGGATAACGGGGATAATGGGGTTAGAGATAACCATAATATGGGGTTATCTAGGATCACGATAAAGGGGAATACTCCTGAGCCCAGGAGTGAGCAGCCAAACCAGCCCTCAGCCATTGCCCATGCAGTGAGAGAACCGGTGCCTGTCTCCGGGTTCACACACGACGAGCCAGTGATGTTTTCATCTCATGAGACTTTTGGCATTTTGGATACCGGCGCCACCAAATCAGTTATTGGAAGTGATTTAATTCCGGACCTGATGCAAGGTCTCAATCCAAAGATCCGACAGCGTTTGTTCCGGTGCAAGTGTTCGGTTACATTCAGGTTTGGAAATCAAGGCACACTGGATAGCAAAACTGCACTGGTGATCCCTATAGGCAACGTAGGCTTAAAGATTTCCATTGTGCAGGGGCAAACTCCGTTGCTTTTGTCCAACACACTGCTCCGAACGCTGAAGGCCCAGATCGATGTTGATCAGCAGCTTTTGCAAAGTCCAATGTTAACACAGCCCATTCAGCTTAAGTTGAATCGCCGGGGTTTGTTTTTGTTGGATGTGAATGAGCTAGCCGAAGCTGCCAGCCATCACAGCGAAACCGCCGAGACTTTTGCGCATGTGGACCATTCAGCGCCTCCGGAAAAACCTGAAGCAACAGCCGAGCCGTCCATGTCCAGCCATGATCAAGCATCCGAATCAGTTGTGCCACAGAATGTGATGACAAAGTCATCCACTGCAGCAGATACCAATCTGAGGTGCACAGGCATGTCTAGTCTGAAGTTAAATAATTCCAATCACCATCAGACCAGCTCAGAAGTTGTCAGTGGGAATTTCTTGAACATGGTCAGAAATACTCAACATGTGTGCACAAGTAGCATTCAATCACCACAGGCGTACAGGTTCAAAGAGTTTCCCGAGAAGCCCAAATCAGTCACATCGGATCCGATCGCTGTGACCCAACATGAGCCTCTCCAAGCGTCTCAACGACCTCAAGACAGGTTCCTATGGAGATCCACTGGCCGAATTCAGGGAAATGCCATGGGAAGTGATGTGCAACCAGAAGGTCGACTTCGGCAAGGCCCATTTGGGCAAGTCTTACCTGGCCACATGGCACCAGGAGCCATCCTGGGTTCGCTGGGTGGTAAAGACGTACAAGGGATCGCAAAAGATCGAACACCAGAAGTTCATGGTCTTTGTGGAGTTGATGGTTCAAATGGAGGAACAAGGGGTCACTCCCCCATCCATCGAGACCAACAACCCCCATCATATGGAACAACAGCCTTTGAGCGCCAAGGCCAAGGCTCGCCCCAAGAGCCAGCCTCAGCAGGTGGACTTGACTCACCTGGTCGAGGAAGATGTAGAGGAATGGATGGAGATGCCGCCCAGCGAGAACACCGAAATGATCAAGGCACTGCAGGCCCGGATGGGCTTCTTGGAGAACGCCATGACCGAAGTGTTGAACCACATCCGCAACGAGCAGAAGTGAGCCAAAACGCCAGTGCCGATGGCCATAGATCAGCTGGTGACATGGATCATGATGATGATGTGTTTCATAGTTTCTGCACTAAACCTCAACAATTTCAAGCCAAGTTCCAGCAGCTCGTATCACAGTTTGAACATGAACTACACCAGATCCAATGCAATAATAAAATGAAGACACCCAAACTTCACCTGTTGGAAGTCTTTTGCAGCAATGACAGTGAGTTGACACATCAGGTGCAGAATCTAGGATCCAGAGCACAAAGAATCAGCCTTGACACTGCCGATCTCGCTACAACTATGGGTCGAGAAATTCTGTTTCGCCATTTAGTAGCTGGTCAGCCGGAACACCTTTGGTTCAGCCCCACATGTGGACCTTGGAGTTCCTGGAGTAACCTCAATGGTAACAAGTCATTGGAAGGGTTTGCCATGATCCAGAGCCAGCGACTGGAACTTTTGTTCCAACTCGCGCTAGGCATCGTTTTGCTGCGGTATCAATTCCTACATGGGAAGCACCTCCACTGGGAGCAGCCTCGACGGTCTGCAATGTTTGCAACCCCACTCCTCCAAGAGTTGTACTCCAAAACTTGGGAAGCCAATTTTGACATGTGCAGGATGGGAGAACTTCGAGACCCTGTTTCCCACCAGTTGATCCAAAAATCCATGTCGATACGAACCACATCCATGAGCATGTATGAGGGTCTCCATGGTAGGTTTTGCAATAAAGCCCATCAACATCAAACCCTTGAGGGATGCACGCATGTAAAGGGGCACGCCATAAAGCGCACCCAGTTTTCCGAGAAGTACCCACGTAAGTTTGCCAGGTACGTTGCCAAGCTCTTGATCAAGGGGAATCATGGTAATCCCAAGGGATATTGTGAAGAACTACCAGTTTTAGCAGCCGAAGCCAAGAGAAAGAGCTCCAGTGCTCGTGCATCCATGCCGCCTGAGGGCAAACGGATCAAACGAATGCCAGCGAGTTTTTCAGTCAAGCGACAGCCTGCAAAACTGATCAGACCTGATGGCTTGCACTTGAAACGTAGGAGAATGGAGGGCAAGAGCCCAGACCCTATCACCACGGAACTAGCCGAAATCATGACCATGGTAAAATCCTCACTTCCTAGGGTAGGCAAGAAGCGTATCACCGATGCTAAAGTCCTGCAGCTTCTTCAGGGGATATTTGAAGATAAACATGTTGTTCATGTGATTGCATGTAAAGGAACTGAGCGTGCCATAGCTGACCCCAAAGAGCTAACAGCCGAAGAAGCACCATTCCGTAGAGCCATTGTTGAAAGCCGTGGCACTCAAGAAATCCTCATTGAAGATCAATGGGAAGATTGGTCCCATCTGTCCAATCGACAGCTGACTAGGCCAGTCCATGCAAGCCATGTCAATATAACAGTTTTTGCAGCCAATCCCACAGAGAAAATTTCCGAGCCCAGCAGTTCAGAGCTTCGGCCACCAGAGCCCAACAGCGTGTCTCCGGATGAGACATCACCCGCAGAATTGCCAGCAGAGGGCAAAGCCAGTCAGCCAGTAGAAGAAGCTGTTCCCGAAGTCCGACATGACACTCGACCCATGACCATTACACAGAGGTCCCCTGAAAACATTGATGTTCATAGCCAACAACATGGCAGACGGTTTATAGCCTTGCCCCCAGAAGAACGAGGTTTGCTTGCCAGGATTCATAAAAACTTGGGGCACCCCTCGAAGCAGATATTGGGACAAGTGTTGCGTCAGAGAGGATACCCGGCAACAATGATCCAAGCACTTGAAGATTATAATTGCTCCACCTGCCTGATGCAGCAGAAACCCAAAATAGCTCGGCCTGCCCACCTAAAAACAGAGATGGACTTTGGGGATAAGGTATCGGTTGATGGCATCAGTTGGACCAATAAGTCAGGGGATGCTTTCCATTTTTATCCCTATCTAGACTATGGCACCAACTACCATGTTGCAATAATTGCACCAAATCGCACAGCCGAACATGCCATCGAGAAGCTGAACACAGCCTGGGTAAACTGGGCAGGACCTCCCAATGAGTTCATGGCCGATGCTGCTACTGAATTTGAGTCCGAAGCCTTCTCCCAATATCTCCAAACACTGGGAGTGAAATCAACCATAATCCCACCACAAGCTCACTGGCAGATGGGTCGGTCTGAGCGTCATGGGCAAGTACTTCAAGAAATGCTACAGAAATACGACGCAGAACATAGCATCACAAGTTATGCTGAAATGCAAGTTGCTCTCACTATGTGTACCAATGCCAAAAACAGTTGCAGTTTAAGACATGGATACTCACCCGAAGTGTTAGTGTTTGGTAAAGGATTTCGAATGCCTGGATCACTAACCAGTGATGACCAATTGACTGCACACCTTACGGCTAGTGAAGAAACTGCACAAGGGATCCGATTCCGACAGCAACTTGCATTCCGGGAAACAGCACGTCGTGCATTCGTAGCCGCCGACAACAGCATGGCAATCCGTCGTGCTGCCCTCCGACGTAATAGACCATCACGCGGTCAGTACGAGCCCGGTGAGTGGATCATGGTTTGGCGAGCAAACGCTACTGCAAAGGGCTGGATAGGACCAGCCAAAGTAATTCAACAGGATGGAAATAACACCATCTTTTGTCAACACATGGGAAGTCTGTTGCGTGCCGCACCCGAACATGTTCGTCCAGTAACAGCAGTTGAAGCCACAATAATTCCAGAAGACATCACAACCCTCACAACTAGAACCAGAAATGCAGCCGAGAATTCACAAGGTGTCCAAAACATGACAGAAATTCCCGAACCTTTACCAGACATACAACCCAGTCACGACCACGACAGGCAGCAATCCCAGCAGTCTCGAGATCAACCTGATCAAGAGCCTGAGAATGGAACACCAATAAGTAATCATGGATCACTCACTGACACGGCCAACCCTGATAACCCCATAGACGATAATACCATGCATAACCCAACTGATAACATTAACTTTCCAGCAGATCAGAACCATCAAACTGAAACTCCAGCACATGAAGTACCAATCCATGATCCCAATGCAGAAGATGAGCTCGAGTGTGATTTGTTGACCTGCGTTGACATCGAAGATCAACAGCATCTCCAAGGGAATAACAACATGGCCTGGCGTTTTGAGATTGACTGTGACCTGAGACCTCAGAATCAACCATATACTGAGAAAGAATTTGAAGAGATAATATATCTTGCCACAACTGCAAAGAAGCAAAGAACCGAGGTCAAGCTCAGTCAACTCACACCTGCTGAGCGCGAGGAGTTCGACCGAGCAAAAGCAGCTGAGATCGCCAATTGGCTGAGCACAGGCACTGTATGTCGTGTCTTGCGCAACCAACTGTCGCCAGAACAAGTGTTGAGATGCCGTTGGATATACACATGGAAACCAATTGAATCAGCAGAGGAGCAAGCCAAGACAGGCAAGAACCGCAAAGCCAAGGCTCGATTGGTAGTTCTAGGCTACTTAGATCCTGCTCTCGAAGAGATTCCCAGAGATAGTCCCACTCTGAACCGACAATCACGAATGCTCATCCTTCAGTTGATTTCATCAATGAACTGGATGTTCATGTCCTTTGATATCAAAGCAGCCTTCTTACAAGGATCCACACAGGGCAGGGTTATTGGAATTGATCCTCCACCAGAGATGATTAAAGCCATGAAATTGTCCTCAACCGAGATATGCCAGTTGTCAAAGTCAGCCTATGGCCTCATTGACGCCCCCTTCCTCTGGTTCCAGGAACTAGATAAAGCACTTAGGGAACTCTCATTTAAGCCATCACCATTCGATCCCACTGTGTATCTTCTATATCCCGAGGGAACCACAAAGCCAGCGGGCATCATAGGGGTACATGTAGATGATGGACTGTGTGGGGGCAATGAGTTTTTCATGACACAACTGGCCAAACTCGAAGAACGATACCCGTTTGGATCAAAAAAGAATCAAAGCTTTGTATTCACTGGCATTGAGATGAGTCAAAATGCAGATTACAGTATCCGACTGTCGCAGGAGAAGTATGTCTCTAAAATAGAGCCAATTCATGTGAGCCCTGAACGTAAGAAAGACCTGGAAAGCACAGTAACTCAAGAAGAGCAACAGGATCTCCGTGCACTTATTGGGTCACTCCAGTACGCAGCGGTGAACACCAGACCAGATTTGTCGAGTCGTTTGAGCTTTCTGCAGAGCCAGATAAATAGGGCAAATGTGCAGACCCTGGTGCAGGCCAACAAAGTCCTGCATGACGCAAAGCGTTTCAAGGATATTGCAATTACCATTCAACCAATCCATGTGGATAAAATCCGATTCTTGGCCTTTTCAGATGCTTCATTTTCATCCAAGAAACAACCTGATTCACATACGGGCATGATGATAATGACTACTCATGATCAAATTAAGAACAATGTGACTAGTCCTGTATCACCGATTTCTTGGGGATGTAAGAAGATTCAGAAGGTTGTAGTGAGCACTCTATCAGCAGAAGCAACTTCACTCAACTCGACACTTGATCAGCTTTCCTGGCTTCGCCTCTTCTGGGCCTGGATTCTGAACCCACAACTCAACTGGAAACAGCCAAAACAAACGTTACAACAACTGCCATATACCATTGCAAATGCCACCTTAAAGGAAGATATCGCTGTGACCGATTGCAAATCTCTATTTGACCTGGTTAGCCGAACAGCTCCCCCAAATTGTCAGGAGTTCAGGACGCAACTGTTAGCAAGATCAATCAAGGACATGTTAGCCGAGAACGTGAATTTGCGATGGGTTCACTCCGGAGCCCAAGTGGCTGATGCATTAACGAAGGAGATGGAATGTTCCTTCCTACGTCACGTTTTGCGAGCTGGTAAATATCAACTGCATGATCAAGAACAGATATTGAAGGAAAGGGCATCCGCTCGGAATCGACTCAAATGGCTGCAGAATCAAGAAGACATTACAAAATGATCTTTTGGGAGTGTGATTCCAATAGATATGAACCTTGATCTCTGCAGGCATGGTTAACCTCACGCTAGGATCCAGTGAAAGGGGAGTCCAACAATCATCAACTGCAGCTATAAGGCTGAGGTCAGCCCGGGTGTGTTTGAGGGTGGGTTTCTTTAGCTTGAAGCCATTGGACTTGCCGCGGACGGCATCACTTTCATTGGAAACTGGTTGGAGAAAGAACTTGGTGGTCGAAAGACCTTGCGCATCGCTGGCTGAGGAAAAGCAGCCGTTTGCCTTGCTAGGTGACAGGGTCACCATTGTTGTTGAGCTGCTACCTTTGTGATCCATTCACAATGTATATATATATATACACATAACTGCATTGAATCCCATCATACATTAACATCTATCCCCATATATATCCATTGATGCCGGGTTTATTTTCGTCCTTCAACCTTTTTCGCCCAGGATGCGGGACATCACTCGTTTCCAGGCCAAGTGGAAGGGCACGCTGACGCGGCGTCGGCACCAGGTCATTGTGACGGCTGGGGTGCCGGAAGCTGAGGGGCGGGAGACTATACGTCGGATTACCATAATTATGGGATAATTATGATTATTGTGGTTGATGGGATAATCATAATAATGATCATTATGGTTGATGGGATAATCATAATCAACCAGACCTTTTCATGAGATTTGGTACAGCTAGAAGATGATTACCATACCGCGGGAGTTTGGAAGACCCTATCCAGCGCACTGAGGACCATCCAGCGCACTTATCGAGGGAGACTCTATGGACGCCGGCCGATGCAGGAAATGCGAGAGGCCAGATGTTGGGGGATTTTCCTAGAACACATATTTTAAATGGGGATGGGTAAAGCTATTATTAACATTAATATATTTGGGGGAATAACCATCCATTAACCATCTATGTTAGGGGACTTAGGGTACCAGGGTTTTTACCCATAACCACATGGATATAGGTCAAAACAATTTGTATATCCCATTTACTACCGTGGCGAAAACACGTGGCTCTGAGGGCACCCAATTTTTGGGACCCAAGTCCATTTCTTGCAGAAATCTGGAAACTACAGCCCGCTCACAGAGGTTTCTGGACGTTGTCTTTTTGCTGCTGTTTAGTCACTTTTTTGCATAGTCTCTCCAACCATCTGAGCATCTGGCTAATTCTCTATGGGAATGGGATGGAATGGCTCAATTGATCTGTAAGTGAGTTGGTTCTGTTTCAAAGGTCTGCAGATTGTACCGGATGTTGCTGCTACCACATTCACATAGCTCTTGAAACATCGAAAGCTTTACCGTGCTTTACTGGTCGCTGATCAGGCTGCCATGAAAATCCAAGGCGCAGTAACAGTGGGACGCAAATTGGGGGGGCGTTCGAACTTGGACTTATATCCCTGCTCCAGTGGTGCTCGAGTGGTGCTTTGTCTTTGTTTTCAGCTTTGGCATGTGTTGACAGTTTGCAACGCAAACCTAGCTGGGGATACTACAAAGATTCTTGTACATCAAGGTATGTCCACAGATTCGGTCCTTGGATTTCTCCCTCAACAGGCCAGTTTTTTTAGCCCAACTCAGCTGCCTTGCTCTGCAGCTATGGCACGCGGTGTAGCCCTCCGAGAGCAAATGAGAGGACAACATCGGGCAGCCGCATACGTGGGGCAACCCAGCAAGGAAAGGCGAAGGCCTCTGAAGGGTAGATAAGTCGAATTTGTGTAGAGCTCTTACATTACAATGGAATTCCTATATATTTGTGGATAGTTCCAAATTTCCAATCTAATTGTTTTGAAGTAGAATGATTTGGAATTCCGATATCCGATATCACTATCAATTTATTGTGACTCCGATATCTAAACTAATAACTTGCAGATGTCCTATTTTACTGCAGTCACCGCCAGGTCCAAGCTCACTGGAACGGATATCAGGCGGAAGGGCAATTTTTGACTTTTGGAAGGAGATCACAAACGTTGATGATTTCTGAGTATGGCTCAAAAATGCGTCGCCAATGCCAGTTGGCCACTCTTGGTTTCAAACCATTCATTTCTTTTTTGGCGTTTGTGAGCATCACCGGCTGCTGTTGGTTGGTTTGTGATGCCTTTTCAGCTTCCAAGCACAGCTCAGTTGCTGTCCCATTTCTCCCGAGCCTCCCAGGCCCGAAAAATGACAGCCAAGAGACTGACGTCGGCCTGCGCCCCAGTGGGCCTTTGGCCCACTGCGCGTCACTGCGGGTCATGTTTTTCATTTTTTAACGGTTGTAGACCGGTGGACTGGACGAGATATTGCTTCTGCACACTTTGGGCAGAGTTGATTTTATGGTTCTCGCAAAACACGACGAATTCTCATTGGCAAAATCGCTCTGATCCTGAAAATACATATATAACTTATTATATACTTGGATAAGGAATTGAACAACAAGAGCCAATGCAAATGGTGGTCAAAGTGTTTCCTGGCTTGTGCCCATATCCAAGTCCTGGCCAGATGGCATGGCACCCTTCACGGAGAGTTGCTTTTTTTCCCAGGTAGTGATGCTGCAGAGGAATTGGCGACGCTTTCAGTCGCAGTGCACGGCCAAGATGTTTCCCATGGTAGATGGCGCAACGTGGCGAAATGCCCAAATTGGGGACCTGATGATATCCCCGCATGTTGGGATCAAAGATGGAGGATAGTTTACTTTTATCGGCGAAAGCTACTACCTATGATTGCCGGAACCTAACCGACGATGGGGGTACATCATATTGTTGGACAAACCCAGATGCAGGACGCTAGGGCTACATGCACTTCGCGCAGTTTATTGATTCAACCGATGTTCTTTACAGGAAACACCGGAGCAAACAGTTGAATTCGAATAACTTGGAACTTGGATTTGGGTCCCCTTTATTCTGGGGCGCTGCAGCTTGACCACTATTTGCATTCCTCTATCAGAATGACCTGCGCTGGTATTTTCTCTTCGATGATGGTCTTCGGGAGCCTTTGACTCCACCAAAATGGTTCTTGTGGCAGACCGTTCCTTTACTACTCTTTACTGGAATGGTCTTCAAACTTCCGTCCTGGCATTCGGAAGATCTTTCCCTCACAAATTGAATTTGTCTGTGGGGGATCCTTCTTTCACTGTAGTGGTCTCTGGCCCCTACTCGTCAAGCTAGTACTGCACAACCTGAGACCCTTGACTCGCGCTCATGACATGTCATGTTGGTGTTTACTTGGCTTCCGTGTTTAGGCTCTGGGCTCATAGGCAGGTGAATTTTCTGTTGAAATGGCCTTTGGAAGGTCTTTGGGGGGGCCTTTCCTTTGGTGCCAATGCAGTGGTCCGTCGCAGCCGCCCCGAATAGAAATAGTTCCCCTGCCCCCCTTCCGTGAAAAGATTATGCCCAAGTTATCCCTGTCCCCAGGCAAACGGGGATTGGGTTTTGATATCAAGGTGAATCAAGGTTCAATATTTCTGACCAGTCTTTTGATGCTTCGTAGCCATAGTATAAGCAGACTAGAGAATACATGAAACGTAGAGCAACCGTGGTACTTTTTGGCAACCGCTCCAACCAAGAGCTTGGAGAAAGTGAGGGCTCCAACCGTTCAACCGTCATCAAAACTTGACTTTTGGAAGGAGTTTATCAATGTTTATCGCTATCGGCTGGCATTTTATGAGGGTCATGCAGTCAGCTTTCAGTCATAGAGCTGGGGACACTTTTCGAAGACGACGGCTGAAATTTCTGTGCCAATTCACCTTTATAAGTTCTAAACAATGCAAACCTTTGGGCAGGCCCTCCCTCCCTCACTAGTCATTAGCATTTGATTAAACCATGCATACACCGCAGCAAAGAAGCCATTGCCATCATCAACATATCATCCCATCCTACTATCTTCTCCGACTATCTTGGCAGACCTCGTGGCAGTTGCAGTGCTCATTTCTTGGCAAACCCATTGCAGATTTTGTTGCAGTTGAATAGCAAGCCGAGGCTTTGCGTTAATTCAACAAACTCCAACTTCAACCCAACACCAAATAAGAGACGTTGTAAATCAGAAACGCTGCGTAAAACACTTCAAGAAATCGCACTTACATCCACTCACATGTATACAGATAGTAGCAGCAACAGTACACATTAATGATTACTCATGAACAAAGATGCCCGGGCCTGTGCCTTTAGCAGCGAACTGGTCTGAGGCTAGATGTGAAAGTCATTCTCTACGACAAGATGGAAACAGTGCGGCAGGGGTCCCCGGCAGCTTTTAATCTGGGCAAGTATGGTGTCAACGCTGGGTTTACCAATGGACCTCAAAGTTTCAAAATGGTTCGATCCAGAGACAGGAAATCCAAACACTAGATCCCATTGACATCTGTTTTTGGCAATTTTCCGGCCTTGTTTAGGGGGGCCAACATTCTTTTCCAGCACCCTGGTTCAAACACAACGGAGGCAGCGCTTTCTCGAGCTCATCCGTTCAAAGTTGGAGGGCTCTGCCGCGGTGCTGTGGGGACCCCAGCAGAATGTGGTGGTTTGTGGGGGATTATACAACATATCACCATCTATGAATCATTTACAAGGGCAAATTTTGTGGGTTATTTGGGGGGAATCTATCACAAGATAACTCCGGCTATCTCCGGATCTTTGGCAGTCTTTCCTTGTTGCGCAGTGACTATGTATTTGCTCCCGGCGGTAGAGAACATCCATCATTCAGTTGACCAAAAGTAGTATGATGCACGCTGAGGATCCAGAGAAATTGGAGGAGGCACTCTGAGTATCACAAAGTTGTCCAGATGAGGACAGCCCGTGGGCAGGTCTTTCACCTTTAATCTTTTTCTCAGGGATGCCATTCTGACTTGCACCTGCTGAATCTTGGACCCAGTGATTATTCTCGTGCGAGCAGTTTTGACATTCATTTTTTGGTTGCCCTTTGTCACTTCTGAAAGTGCATGGTGCACCCCTCCACGCATTTGAAGGAAACAGAAAGCAGAAGCAGACAAGCGGATTAGTACGCAGGGAACCTCAGCGACAGCAAACGGTCCAGCGGGCGGAGCCAGTTTCAGTTGGATTGTCTGAAAAATGCGGAAACAATTCAAACTCCGATGGTTGATCATCATTTTACTGCTTAGAATGGCCTTTTTGGGGGTAAACGGTAAACACATCATTTTCTTACACAGTTTCAGTTTGACATCCAAGGCTCTTGACAGCGTTCTATATGGCCGCTGGTGAAATTCGCCACTACATTCATCCGCATCTTGGCTGGAAGCACTAGTTGATTTCCAGCTCTGAGAGACATGATGATATTTGACGTGCGGGGAGTTGAGCTGAGGTGGTGGAGACATTTGTTCGGAACTCTGGGGTTTGGGAGCACTTGGGAATACTGCGAAACCAGAGTTGCAGTAGAACTTGATGTGTACTTGCCAAGCTTTTTGACCATTGGAATAGTAACAAGAGGGCAAGGAATCATTCGAATTCAGTCAGCCTGTCAACTTGACATTGGCGAGAATCGGTAAACTTGGATGCCTCCAAGAGATGCCCCCAAGGGTTAGTTCACTTGGTAGGTTGACCGACCAGGGCCGGCAAATGAAACTGCCTTGATCTGAGGCCCGCAGAGATCCAGGAGGTTCTGTCACAGGTGAAGGCCGGGTCCAGCTAGTTCCGGGCCATTGGGCGGATTTCTATGGAGAAATGCCGATGTTGGATGGTTTTCACGAAAGCTAGCGTCAGCTAGCTGGAGTCTTCTTGCTTTAGCAAGTATTCCGGGGGCTGCTCAAGAACATCACGTGATTTTTCACGCGAAAGGGGGGGACCCCCCACCACCACCACCACCACCAGCATCATCATCATCATCATCATCATCATCATCGTCATCGTCCTCGCCATCGTCCTCGTCATCGTCATCATCATCATCATCATCGTCCTGGTCCTCGTCCTTGTCCTCGTCATCGTCATCGTCCTCGTCATCGTCATCGTCGTCATCATCATCATCATCATCATCACCATCATCGTTAATCAATTACATTTTATCATTATTGGCAATTATTGGCATTATCACGAAAGCTAGCGTCAGCTCGCTAGAGTCTTCTTGCTTTAGCAAGTATTCCGGGGCTCCCCAAGGACATCACGTGCTTTTTCACGCGAAAGGGCCCCCCCCTGCCCCCTCCCCCATATATATCATTGTTATATATCATATATCATATATCATTGTTGCATCCTCGTTGGGACGAACAATGCCGCGACACGATGATGACAGTCCCTCCGCAACTCACCTCTTCCCTTCCTTCTTTCTCCTACCCCACTAGCTTTCGTCATCCACCCCCGGCCTCAAGTTTGGTGCTGAATTCAGCAGAAATCTGCGGGCCGCCGTTGGTGAATCTGGAGCGAGGCCTCAATGCAACGCACCATTGGCCTTGTGCACGTGAGGGGCTCAGACTACGTCAGCTACGTCAGCTACGTCAGCTACGTCAGCTTGAGCAATTTGGGAAAATCCTTCCGTCAGGTCTCTGGCAAGCTTGCTAATGAAGAGATTGGCAAAAGAGGCTGGATCCCTAGTGCAGAAAGGTTGACTTGCTTGTTGGAGCTGTTTAAAACTGGAGTTGCCCAACACACAGCGTTCCGGCTTTTCGCCGTTGTGCAGCTTTCCGCTTTGCTTCGGGCTGCTGAAGGAAGAAAGTAGCTGAGCTTACATGGCTTCTCCTTGCAAACCTCTTTTTCTAGTCAGGGTGTCGAGACATTCTATGGAGATGAGAAAGGTCTGCGTGGAATTCTGTGTGTCCACCGGCAGTGTTGACGTTGTTCTATGCCGAACCCAATGTGTTTGTATGACTTATGATTATAACTTACAACCATATAAGGGCAGGACTCCAACCAGGATCACGCTTTAAGCTTCAGGCCTCGTTGCAACAAATTGAGAGTTATATAGTTCTGTGTGGATTTGCAAAGCATGCAAGAAAACAGGACCATGTAGGCACAATAAATCAGGATGTCAGATTGCACAGGTAAGATCCGTAACACAGATCAAGATAGACAAAACGGATGGGCTTGGAAAGGATTGCCTGGACTGGAGTGGGAGAAGATACACAAAAAGAGCGAGTCAGACCAGGAAGGAGCGCGCATATGCACTTAGATGTACATTTGTATGTATGCAGATTTGCACACCTTTCAAGTCATGGCAAAATCTGCCACGGCTCTCCACTCTATATCCAAAGATGTCCATGTCAAGATCGCAAATGGTCATCAATGGTGGCTAAGGCTTGCGCGTTTCTGGGGCTGAACACTTGGTTTACCACAGCCGGGACCCTACGCAGCATCAAGAGTTCATCTGATGCAAGCCATTTGGAGACGAAAGTCAACCAACGAGCTGTTTATCAAGCCGGTCTTATAGATAGTTACGAGTTCGGACATATTCCTGATGACTGGACATTGTGTTGTATGCATGCAGACGGACGCAGACCTAGTGCCATGGCATGCTAATGTGCAAAGTTGCCCTGCACTGTTTGCACTTCAATTTAACGCAGAAGCACTGATGCTTCGCAGTGGAAACCAAGAAGCACTGGGAATCTTGCCGAGAGGATCATCCCACTTGGATTCCTCGATCCTGGGAAGCCTGGTTACATCTGGTTGCCATTTGCGAGGTTATCCCATATACCCCACATATATATATATATTATATATATTATATATATATATATTATATATATACAGTAATTCAAGTATGGTTACCATCTGGTTATGACTAACAGTTTGCCATGGAAAGATCCACCATGCTATTAATAGGTAAACCATCTATTTCTATGGGCCATCTATACCATGGCTATGTTAGTCATAACCAGAGGGTATATGTGATCATAATTTATGATCCATGGGATGATCCAGTTCAAGTAGGCTCAACCAACCGGTGGAATATCACACACGGTGGAATTCCCTTTCGGAGCTGAGGTGAGCAGCCTGACTTGGTGTCTCACATGCTGCTCTCGGTCACACGACATTTGCCTGGACCCCCGGATTTGGGATGTCCATGGATTTCCAGAATCAGAATCCGGACATTCTCGGACATGAAATTTCAATGAGTTTCAGATACAACATGGTGTATCAATAATTTTTACATGATTTTACATGATTTTACATGATTTTACCTTCTGGTAAACATACAAAAAGCTATGGAAAATGGATGAACATGGCCAATTGATATAGATGGTTTACCTGTTAATAGCATGGTGGATCTTTCTATAGCTATGTTAGTCATTACCAGACGGTAGATACTCAGCGTTTTGAGGCCGTCCCATGCATCGGTCCAAGGCTGAACCAAATCGGAGCAGAGCACTTTCCTGTCACAGTCGATTGGGTCGCCGCCTCAAACGGATGCCTGGACCTGCCATGTTCGAAAGCCGACTTTGTTTGTTTTTGGATTTTCATATCCCTATGCATGTCCGAATTTACATGGTTTATTGTTTATATTATATGGTATGATACTGTAAGATAAAGAAATAGCAAACACATTGATTATAAGCATGTCAAAGCCCATCAAACCCCCAACTACATACAGAGTTTTGGTCTTTATGCTTCACCTCGGACATTTTCCTGGGCCAGGCCTGTTATGCCATTAGCCACCAAGCAGTAAAGCTGGCTCTCAGCAAGTCCTTCATCCCGCGCGAGGCCTCCGATAGGACCTCTATGTTTTTTGAAATGATTTTTCAACTCTGGAAAAATGGTTATATTTTTTTCAATGATTTTTCAATGATGTTTCAAGGATCTTTTCAATGATTTTAAGTCATTGATCCAGTTGGCTTGATGCCATTGACGTGAAAAAAACACCCAAACAATGGGGCTTCCAGTTGAAGAGCTGAGACTTGAACTTCATCCAAAGGAGAGTTTTGTTATGCAAGGACTGCAAATCTCACACATGCCGAAAAAACAGCTGAACAGAGCTCTTCCAAAAGGGTTCCCCCGGGTTTCCGCAGATCATCCCGGTGGGCAAAGAAATCCCTCCACATCCTGGAGACACCTTGGCCCTGGGCCTCAGATGGGATCGAGATGTATATCTAAGTCGAGTCAGGAAAAGGCACCAATGTTTACCAGTCAGTTTTCCAGTCAGTCTACCAGTCAGTTTACCATTCGTTTACCATTAGTTTTCCAGTCAGTTTACCCAATGTTTCTGGGTTGCCATAATATGCCATAGACATACCATAGACATAGGGAATATTTGGGGGATGGTTGAGATGGCAGCACCCGTCCCAGGCGACTTTGTGGGACAGCAGTGGTACTGTGGGGGCCCCCATTTGTGGTACCTCTGTGTTTTGCGGAAGATGATCACTATGGTTTTATATACTATAATGTTCACTATAATATTATATGTTCACTATAATATTATATGTTCACTATAATGATCACTATAATGATCACTATGTTTCATGGATAGTGACATATTATATACTATAATTCTATAATGTTCACTAAAAATTGATCCAATATGGATATTAATCATATCACTGTGAAACATTATATATATACATATATATATATATATCCCAAGGACATTTTGGAACCACCCACCGGATGTGGTTTTCAAGCCACTTGCTGATTGCTGTGAGGTGAAACACCATCACGACTGGCTCATAACTCTCTCAGAGGAAAGCTTGCCTTGTCAGAGACTCAAGTGGCCTCCTGGGGTTAGAAAAAGATACGCCAGAAAGGGGGCTACGATTTGGTATATTCTATAGTGGTACATAGTGGTACTATGAACTATATACGGCATTACATCTCTCTCTCTCTCTATATACAGTCTATATACACATATACACGTATTAAATTATATATACATGCGAGAAGAGCATGACAGGAGGTAGAGCAAGAGGGCTGAGAGAGAGGAGAGGAGAGAAAGTGAGACGCAGAGGAGCGAGAGGCAAGGAGAGCGACAGAGAGAGCTGACGATGCGAGATGAGAGAGCGAGAGCGCGGAGCAGCTAGGCTGAAGCCGAGCGAGCCGAGCTGGCGAGCAGACCGAGCGACTCTGAGCGAGACGGACGAGCGCGATAGCGAGGACAGCGAGGACGAGCGAGGAGAGAGCGCGAGCGGGTCAGCGCGAGCGAGCTCTAGGCGAGCGGCGAGCGAGCGCGAGCCTAGCGCGAGAGAGAGAGCGAGCGCGAGCGAGCGCGAGCGAGCGAGAGCGAGCGAGCGCGAGCGAGCGCGAGCGAGCGAGAGCGAGCGAGAGCGAGCGAGAGAGAGAGCGAGCGAGAGAGAGCGAGCGAGAGAGCGAGAGAGCGAGCGAGCGAGAGCGAGCGAGCGAGCGAGCGAGAGCGAGCGAGAGCGATCTATATCTATCTCTATCTATATCTATCTATATCTATATCTATCTATATCTATCTATCTATCTATATCTATCTATCTATCTATATCTATCTATGTATATCTATCTATATCTATGTATATCTATCTATATCTATATCTATATCTATCTATATCTATCTATATCTATCTATATCTATCTATATCTATCTATATCTATCTATATCTATCTATATCTATCTATCTATCTATATCTATCTATATCTATCTATATCTATCTATATCTACCTATATCTACCTATATCTACCTATATCTATCTGTCTATCTATCTGTCTATCTATCTGTCTATCTATCTATCTATCTATCTATTGTATATTATTATAGTTTTTAAATTGGCGGGTTTACCACATGACTTGGCTCTTCAGGCTTGGTGCTCAATGGATTGCCGGCGAGCCACCGCCACGTGTCCCTCACAGCAGAGGCTTGGAAGGATCGAGGATTTGCCAATTTTTTGGATAGAAACCAAACCAACACCTGAAAGGTTTGCAGCACTTTGAATTTTGTAAAACGTTGAATCTATTTGCTTGCGGCTCTCTGCAATCTCAAGGCATTAAACATTGCGAGTACTGAGTGTGTGAGTGAGGAAGAGACAGTTGAATGGTAAAATTTATAAAAAATTGGGTTGCAACATAGGGGTATGGGGGTATGGGCGGTATGGGCCCAAAACCATTCCCCACATAGGTGTATAATATGTAGAATGGTGTATATATATAGATAGATATCACTAGCATCTTAGATCTAATACACCATTATAGTATATCAATATACAGTTATAGTATATCAATCTATATCAATGTATCAATTTCACATCCTAAATTAATACACCGGGGATCACTGATCAAAACACCCAGGGTTGCCACAGGTCTTGATCACCATGCGGCAAGCCCTGGCTGGAGCCACAGTTATTTAACAGTTTGCCTATCAAAATAACCATAACCAGAGGGCAAATCACCATAATTAGAATGTAAAGATGATAATGGTTATGATACACATCACCATCATTATGATAATACTAATAGATGGCGCAAGTTTTCTTCGATGATGATGATTTACCGAACCTGAACATGGTGATTTTACATAGCTACGTTTAACAACCAGAGGGCAAATCGAGCATGGTCCATGGTCATTTCTTCTGACTTAGACTGAGCCAGACTAGCATCTGATTGACTATGGTTGATGCCTCGTAAATGTTCTATTGGGACTCCCCTAGGACTGGGATGATAGTCCCAGTCCCAGTTATGTCTCATACTTTGAAAAGTCTGATTGAAACCATCCCAGGATTGTTTTCTGGGAAGCATCTGCAGGAAAACCTCTACTCGAGGGTTATATTGCACCTATGTTCCTGTAGATGGGTATGGGTCAATACCTATAGATACATTTTTAGTAGGATGAACATCCAGCTATTTTGGGGTTCACTAGGTACCAGGGTTTTGACCCATCCCCAGATTTTCCCTTGAAGAAATCCATCGAAACCACCAAGGAGTCTCCGACCGTTTCTACGGAGGATCATCTGAGATTTCAAGGCCTCGATGCACAGGCAGGGCCATGGCAGGGCCTTTTTTTTGGGATGGCTACATTGAGGCACCAACGGGACCCACCAATTATAAATGGTTCTTAGTACTGAACCCTCCGAATGTTCAGCCGATTTTTGGTTTAAATGATTTGGAACCGTCCCCACTCGAAACATTATCATCCGGTAATGGAACAGCACGAAGCTGATCATGCCCAAAGTGGACTGTGAGTATTCCTCGGAGCTGCTAGCCTCTGATGATTTAGCCTAAAATCCACAAGTTAATTCAATGACTTTCCCAGTGAAATGCTGATTCTCGTAGCCGGATTTCCCAGCCATGCCTGCTGTCAGGCCGGTGCGCAGATGATGGAGGTCCTTAGCAGTGAATTAGATCATCGCTTGCCGCCGGACTGGTGTGGAGCCCAAGGGTTCTTCGGATAGAAATGGGGGCCCAGGGCCCCATTTTGGCACCATTGAAAATGGGGAACATGGTCACCCCACATGGCTGCATGAAGCCCGTTTTTTTTTTTGAGGGTGCCGGGATGAGCCCACATGAACCACTTTTCTCCTGAAATAAGTTGAAGCATCTCTGGCTTGCGAAGATCATAAAGTCATGTTCGCACTAAGGACGCAGCAGCACGGCACAGTGGCAGCTTTGTCAGTTGTGCTGAGAACGGGATCCCAAGCATCGCTCTTTTGCCAACGTGTTTGAAGATTGGCAAAACGGGTACGGCATATTGCACAGCACCCTCACAATGCTGATGACTAGGCTGAGTGTGGATGCACGGGCAACTTCTCAATGTGTGCATAGCCGTGCATAGACGAGGCAATCACATGAAAGAGCTATCAGCCGACAAAGACAAGGACATGGGGGATGACGACTGGTGACTGACTTGGAACAAAGGACGTCTTTGACTTAGCTCCTCGCCTCACCCTAAACATTCTTTTGACTACATGCCATACTGAATATTACTATTTAAGACTATTTATATAGTTTATTTATATATATATATATTACACCTATGAGTCTATGAGATCATATGATCTATTTTTATTATCACTATTACTATGATGATTATTGTTAGTGTTATTCCTGCATCTTTGGGCCAGTGAACCAGTGGCCATACTCAGCCGGAGGATGGAAAAGCCGCCTTGCAAGCAAAGGCCAAAGCCAAGTCGAGATTGAAGGCGAAGACCCTTCTGTGCCCAAAAATGTGAGACAGAGATGCGGGATATGCGGATTCGGCTGAGATAGGAATTGATACATGGATGACATATCGATGAAATCTGGGTGATATCCAGATGATATAGCTGCTATAGCTTCTCACTGTTCCACTTTCCTAATGGCAACAGAGAGACCACTATTCTTCCCTTGCTTTCACCCCCTGGCCCAACCGGCTTCATCCCATTTCCAGGTAGAACCAAAGGGCAGAACTGGCGCATGGAAACTCAGAAACTTCGCCCGAAAAATTTCGGCGGCGCCGCCGGGATCCGGGGGATCCGGGGCTCAGGCCAGAGGATCCAACCGTGGCGGAAAGTTGGACGCGAAGAGCCTGCATCTTGGTGAGTTGCTTGCGGCTTACCTGGCAGGACCTGGCACACGCATGGGCCCCATGGGGACCCCATGGGGACCCCATGGGCCAACAGTTTTCTAACACCAGAATTCTGGGGAATTCTGGGTCATCAAAAAAAAGGCACTTCATTCGGGCCAAGGTGATGTGGACCCTTTATCAGGGGCTACGACTCCAATGCTGTCCGGGGCCTTAGATTGCCAGCTATGATGACTGAGACAAGGTCCGAAGCTGTCAGACACATGGGCCCTGTCTGAAAATAGGGATATCCTATGGATATCCTATGCCATCCAACGGATTATCAAGGATTATCATCACTTTCCTCATGAAGTTGCTCATGTTTGGTACTTCACCATCCTTAGACAAAGCCACATTTCTCTACTGGTTGGTAAGGTCACCCATGTCTGGATCCGCTCCGCCGTTGTTGGGGCTCTTGGTGGAACCTGTGAGAGCTCCTTTGGTTTTGTGGATCTCGGAAGCGATGAAAACTGCGCCACCATGTTTGGAAAGTGAGGTCTACGGTATACCCCCAAGGGGGACAATGATGATATTCCATGGGTTGATTGGAGGTAATTACGCTATTTTCAGACCAGGTGTTTGCAGATCAATTCAACATTTGTATGTGAGCACGTTTTATGTTTTGGGCTATGTTCACTTGCTGACTGAAGCATCTTTCCCTCCAATCTGAGGCCCGAAGGTGGTGCCTTATCTCACTTCACACGTGCAGCTACGATGCGGGTCTTACAACAGGCAAGTTACGACGGTCGTTGGAAAGCTGGAGACGTGCCAATGTGCTGAAGCCAGCCACATAAACCTCCAATCTCCAGCCACCAGAATGGTGGTTTCACTGGTGATGGCATAGGCACATTGTTGCCTTTACCCTCTGGTAAACTAACATAGCTATGGAAAGATCCACCATTTTTAATGGGTAAATCCACTATTTCTATGGCCATTTTCAATAGCTATGTTAAATAAACAGATGGTACCAGTTTATCACAATATTGCTGTAGAGATGACGATCTCAAACAACCCTCTTCGGCAACATTCTGCAGGTGGGTTACTTTATGCGGTACCAGGACGAAGCGATGCAAAGCGTCCTCGCCAAAGGCAGCGGAGTACTGTGCTCCATTTCTGGCAGATCCAAATGGGTATGGATCAATACCTATGAAAATACCATTTTTAGGGGGATGAACATCCATAAATCCCAGCTATTTTGATGTGAACAGAAGGGGTACTATTGGTTTTGACACACTGCCAAATCTATTCAGTTTTTGAAACTGCTCTTTGAAAGTCTGGAAATGGAACTGGTGGGCGCTTTGATATATTTGCATAAGAAATATAAGAACTTGCCACTTTTGCACTCCTAGTTTTAGCATTATGGAGCACTCACAAGTCTCAAGTTGGTGAGTTTCAGTTTACATCTATTGCAGCAGGATCGTATTCAGAAGGCTTGAGCTAGCAACCGTTTGAACACATCGTCTGTCGAGGGAATGAATGAATGATATATATATATTTACATGTAGCTTATTTTGTTTGTCACCAATCTTTGCTTACAGTAAAAGGTATATAGAATTATATAATATCATGATGGTGCATTTAGTTATATATAAAGTTATAGAATGATTAAACTATATATATAGAGTTATAGATACAACTACATATATAGTGATAGATACAACTATATATATATGATTATATATAGTTATAATTATATATAGTTATAGCTACAATTATATATATATATATCGCTATAGATATTGCTACACTATGTATAGCTACACTATATATAGTTATATATGTATATATAGTTGTATATATGTATAGATAGTGATATATATATATATATATGTATATATATAGTAATATATATATGTATATATATATATGTAACTATATATATGTAACTATATATGTAACTATATATGTATATATAGTGATATATATATATGTACATATAGTTATGTACATATATAGAGTTAGTTATATATGTATGTGTGTATATATACATATGTATGATAGATGTATGTATGTATATATATATATGTATATTAGTATATGTTTATGTATGTAATGAATGTATGCATGTTATATTATATTATGTTATGTTTTGTTATGTAATGTAAGGTAAGGTAATGTAATGTAATGTTATGTTATGTTATTGTATGTATGTATGTATGTAATGTAATGTAATGCAATGCAATGCAATGCAATGTAATGTAATGTAATGTAACGTAACGTAACGTAATGTAATGTAACGTAATTTAATGTATGTATGTATATCCAATACATATAGATACACACGCACACATGTATATATATATAGTGGTGACCAGCACATTTCAACATTCATTGGTCAAGAGTCAAGGCGGATTCTGGTGTGGCCCCAGTGCTAGGAGCGACGACGGGGTCTCCCAAAGCTGGTAGGGCTGCCTGGACAGACCTGCGGAAGAAAGCACGTTCTGCATGGATCTTCATGGTACATGTCACTGTGACACAGCTCCAAGCATAGTGAGTGTTTAAGGTTCTTAGATGATCCTCCTTTTGTTGACCTTTGACATGAATGTGGACCCACTCTACTTTTGGGATTGTGTGAATATCTGTTGTATCTATCAAAAGAACAATTCTCCCAAGGAAAAGTCAGGGTAATCATTGGAAGGCGGACAGATGGATGTAAAGACTGCAGAATGCACTTAGATTGAACAAATCTTTGAGCCCTTTGACTCCTGAAGGTATGCGTGCAAATCGCTTTGTTTCTGCCTGGCGCCCAGCATAATACATGCAAGACACGTTCAAAATCCAGCTTACTCTACGAAGCGATACTGTAGTTTCTTGAAACATCATTTCTCAAGAATGAACTGACTTGAAACTACCTCAGTGCATAAGGCAGGCCACCTTCGTTCAACCCCTTTATCGTCTACCACAGAAGAAAAGCACCAAAAAAATAATAACACTTATTTTTTCCAGTGTGTCTTTGTGAGCGTCACTTTTAAAAGGCCAGTGCATCGCAGGTCACTGACAAGCTCTTTGAGATGGCTGACAGAGCGATGCATGATCATTGCTCATTTGTGCCCCTTACCTCAGATCTGATACCGATATGGAGAGCCATTGAGCACAAACTGATTCTGCCGAAACTTGAGATGTTTTAGGGTGCAGGCAAGAGCTGATGATGGATACTGCAGACATTTGTTTTGCTTAAGGCTTGCTGTAGTCCTCTTGCACATGGTTCTTCGGGGTTTACACCTCCGCGCAGCACTCAGCAGAATGGCACTGCAATTGACATGTCTGCAGCGTCTTCTATGATTTCAAGATGTCGACATGTATTTTGTCAAATGAATGTCAAGTGTGAAGATATTCTCCCAAGTGGCATGTGTTTTTCCTATGCCGTGCCAAGGTTTGCTCTATCATCGAGCCGCTGTGTCAATCCAACAGCCAGAGACTTGTCAGGGGGTAGCACATTGCAGCCAAGGAACCCATATATCAAGCAAAGATGTCCAAGCTTTCGACGGTTTCCAAATATCACTCAGACTGGTAAGAAGGAAACTGGAGGAAACTGGAAACTGGTTCAGGGTTTAAACTCTGGCGCAACTGCTGTAGACGTTGATCAATTGGACCAGGCGCTATCGCTACATCAAGTTACGCGGCCAGAAGCAGAGTGCCATTGCTCCTGCGGCAGGGGTCTCAATGCTGTACTTCACACGTAGACTCTAGAACCAAAAGTAGTGGGGAAGACGAAGAGCAGATGTCTCAAGAAAGCGTCCAAGTTTTTCCTTCAAGTTTCATTCCAGAAGAAAAAGTATTACCCTCTGGTGAACTAACATAGCAATGGAACATCACCATTTTTAATGGGAAAATCCACTATACATGGCCATTTTCAATTGCTATGTTAGTTCACCAGAGGGTAGCCATCAGCTGTGCACAACTGAGATGCGCATCCAGCGCTTTTGGCGCGGGCTGCGGGCTGTTCCAAACCTAGTAGCAGATGCAGTTTGAATTTGGCCAGAGCTGACACAACATGGTGCTGGTGAGTCAAATTTGGATACCTCCCCAGAATATCCTAAAACTGTACTCTACATATTATACATATAATATGTATATATATATATATAACATCTATCATCATCTATCTATGTAATGGCATGTAGTGATAATTTAGCTTAAGCACAACCACACGCACACACACACACATAGCATATGACAAATGAGGCGCTGGGCATCATGCGCAAAGATGATGCTGCCTGGAAGATATTAAGAAACTACAAGGCACGTTTTGTGAAGCTGATCATAAACATTCATAAACTACAGCTGCTCTATTTTTTTTGGGTCAAATTCGACCTCAAACAATTGGGATCTATTCATTCATTGGGTTTACTGTACCCGGAGTTTACCCCAAGAAATTGAGGTCCATTTACGTTAGATCCGGGTCATTTTTGGTAAAACATGATTTTTAGGTAGCCATTTGTGTCACGATGACCCAAGCCAAGTGGCAGGCCTGGAAATGGAACAAGCGAGCAGACAAACTGCTGCAATCCGTCTTGAAGATCCAGCGAGTGCGGGCCATGCTGGGTTCACCTGTATGAAGGATGGGCCAGGGTAGTAAAAGGAAGGCACTGTGGGACTGTGGGTCGAGGAAAGATGTGTACAATGTTTTCACCCTCACGCACTATGGAATTGATTCCAGTAGACTTTTTTTCCATGGGCGATTGCTTCTTTTGGCGACTGGGACTGTCTTTTTGTATACAAAGTAAGAGGACTGTTACCAGGTAATATGACCTCATCCATTTCTGAGGTTTGGCATAGCTCCGTGCACAGAAAGTGGATTAAGCGTGCCGACCTTGGACACAGGGTTTCCCCACTAACGGACTGCGACGGAGGATGAGGATACGATGATGATGATGATGATGAAGAAGAAGAAGAAGAAGAAAAAGAAGACGAACAAAGCGACTTAGGATGTTTTCAGACTGTCTATTAGGAATGTGTGCAGAAGACCAACTCCAATTCAATATCTCTGTATGGACAAGGTCATCCCAAAGTCTAGATCGGATGCCTCTGGCTGAAAAGAAGACTGAAGGCAAACACGTTCTGTTTTGTTCTGTTCATATTTGGGGGCTCACTGCGTTCACCCAACTCTCGTTCAGCCGAGGCTGCCACGAAGCTGCAGCCTGCATCCAACGGCACGCACGTGGCTTCGCAGTTCGGCTGGTGTTGGTGCCTGCCCAAGCAGCCGAGCGAATCACAGAATCGAGAGAATGCCGTGGAGCAGTTGAGGTTTTTGGGGCTTGCATGGCATAGGTTTCCAAGTGAAGTGTCGGAGAGCACAACCCTGCCTTTGGCAGAAATCCAGGGGAGACCCCGAAGGCATGTGCCAAGGATACAATAGGATACAGAGACTCCAACATGAAAGCGGTCAGATCTCAGGACCAACCAGGCAGAAAGCTCGCGAAAGATCTTCGGAAATCGATTGAGGACTTTTTTCACATCGATCTTCGTCTGGGCAAGATTTCTTCAAATGGGTTACCTCCATGTACCTCCAGTCTTCCAGGGATCATAAGTGAAATTCAGCTGCAGGACCTGGTTGCGAGAAAGTCGCAAATGCACCGCGCTCGGCCTCCCCCTCTAGGTGATGATGAGGCTACCCACATCAAAATGGGGAAATGATAGCAGTCAGAATAGTTACCATTGAGCACGCAGGAGATGCGGAAATTGTTTTTCGAAAAAAACAGTCACTTGCATCCACTTGCAGCCACTCGAGTGGCCGCGAGTGACCGCATGTGACCACAAGTGAAATCATTTTGCCAAGTCGACCAATTGCAGCCACTTGCAGCCACTGGAGTGGCCGCAAGAGACCGCAAGTGACCGCTTTCACTTATTTTACAAAGTCAGTCAAGCCGGTCACTTGCGGTCACTTGCAGTCACTGGAGCGGCCGCAAGAGACCGCAAGAGACCGCAAGCGACCGCTGCAGCAAGTGACCGCAGGTGACCGCAAGTGACCGCAAGTGACCGCAAGTGACCGCAAGTGACCGCAAGTGACCGCAAGTGACTGCATGCTGTGGTCACGGACATTTTTAGGGCCCCCTCACAGATAATGCTCCGCAATTTCCGGGCCGAAACGAAACACAGACGTTGAAAGGAAAAGGGGTGACTTGAAACGAAAGAGGCAGGACCTGACTTAAGAAGGAAAAGACTTGAAACGAAGGAGAAGGCTTCAAAACGAAAGGACGCGCGGAAAATGAAAAGGTCTCTACACTCACGCCATGCAAGGAGCTTACTTTGAAACGAAGAGAGGTGATTTGAAACGAAGCCAAGAAGTTGAAACAAAACAGAGTGACTTGAAACGAAAGAGGCAGGACCTGAACTAAGAGGAGAAAGACTTGAAACGAAAGAGGAGGCTTCAAAACGAAAGCACGTGTGGAAAACTAAAGGGAAAGGAGCTAACTTTAAAACGAAAAGGGATGATTTGAAACGAAAGTGGGCACGACCTGAGCTAAAAAGGGAAAGACTTGAAGGCTTGGAACGAAAGAGATGGCTTGAACACAAAAATACATGTGGAAAACGAACTCGTCTCCTCAATTTTCCAACATCATAGATGCTACGCTCTAAGATTTCCTCTTCAATTTTCTTCCATGATTGATGCTACGCTCCAAGATCTTCTCTTCACTCCTCAAACATCATTGATGCTACGCTCTAAGGTCTTCTCTACAGTTTCTAACAGTCTGCCATGATTGATGGGACAAGATCTTCTCTTTAGTCTTCTAGCATCATTCATACTACGCTCTAAGGTCTGCTCTTTATTCTTTAACACTGTTGACGCTGTTCTCTAAGATCTTCTCTTCAAGTTTCTACCATCATTGATGCTACGCCCGTGACCCTCTATAATATACTGTAGATCTTCTCTTCAATTTTCTCATATTCCTCCAATATAGAGGCTATGCTCCAAGATCTTCTCTTCACTTTCCCAACACCATTGATGCTACGCTCCAAGATCTTTTCTTTAACTTTCAAACTTTTTGCCATTATGTAAGTTGCGCTCCAAGATCTTCTCTTCAATTCCGATCATCCCTGATACTATGCTGTAATATCTTTTCTACAATTTCCAACATCATTGGCGCATATGCTTCCATCATAGACGGATGCTACGCTCTAAGTTTTTCCTCTTCAATTTTCTTCCATGATTGATGCTACGCTCCAAGATCTTCTCTTCAGTTCTCAAACATCATTGATGCTACGCTCTAAGGTCTTCTCTACAAACTTCTAACATTCTGCCATGATTGATGCTACGCCAAGACGCTCTAAGATCTGCTCTTGATTTGTTTAAAACACTGTTGATGCTTCGCTCTAAGATTTCCTCTTCAATTTTCTACCATGATTGATGCTACGCTCTAAGATCTTCTCTTCAACATTCAAACATTCTTTCATGATTGATGGTACGCCCCAAGATTTTCTCTTCCATTTTCAAACACTTTTCCAACACTGATGCTACGCTGTAAGAATCTCTTTTCTTCAACTTTGTAACATGCTACCATGATTCATGAAACGCCAAGATCTTCTCTTCAGTTTTCCAACATCATTGATACTACCATAATTGATGCTATGGCTCAGAATCTCTAAGATCTTCTCTTCAATATTCTTCCATCATTTGTGCTAAACCGTAAGTTCTTCTCCTAATTTCTAAAATCATTGATGCTATGCTTTAAGATCTTCTCTTCAATTTTCATGGCTGCAAGTGACTCTAAGTGACCGCAAGAGTGATCGCTGGAGCAAGTGACCGCAAGTGATCGCAAGTGACCGCAAGTGACCGCTTCTTCCAAAATCAAAATCCAGCCCCAATACGCGCTCTCTGATAGTTACTGTATATATTTTTTCAATGAACATCTGGAATCTTAAAGATGTGTATCTATCTATCTCTATATATGATTATATAATATGATATTATATATATATGTATATTTTGAATATGAGATATATAAGCCTCAAAATGTCCTGCGGTATATATTTTAAATGACCTTCGGTTCGGAAAGTGATCGATTCCGGTGACCACGTAGCGAGGTCAGAGACGGCTTGGGGGGCTCTGATAGCTTCACAGTCTGCCAAGGCGCCTCTTGGGGTACCCAATGACTTGACTTTGACTTCCATAGCCCAATGGGAAGGGTATGGTAGCGGGTGCAGCTTGATGCTCACTGCGGTCGATTGTTTTTTGGAAGCCCTGTGCTTTTCATGAGAACTTCACGAGATGATGGACCATTAGCATCACCAGACTTGGCCTTTTTTTTGGCCACTGGAATCCATGGTGAAAATATGGCAGGCACGTCAAAAACTGGCACAGCACCGAAAGCGCAATCTGGACGGGATCCTCATGCGAGGTCAGTGCCTCGAATCTCAGGAATCTCAGGAATCTCAGGGCGCGGCGCTCCACCTAGCCACCCTGGTGAAGAGTGAAGACATTAAATAGATATGATAAATTGGTAAATGGATGTTCAGCCCCCCAAGATATGATACAATAAAATTCAACAGTTTGACCCATCCTAAAAAAATGGAGATGTATCAATGCTTTTCATAGGCCATCATGGGAATCCCCAGCAGCCTTTAATTGGGGCTATTTTGGCCATTGTTTATTGGTAAAATCCTGCGCGGAGGCCCATGTCTAGTTGTCTTTTGAATCAAACTGCTTACTATGAGTAATTTGTCGCATTCTTCTTCTTCTTTTACTCATTGTTGTTACTTTTACTTCTACTATTATGATTTGTTGCTTTTTGCCTTTGTTATGAGAATACTTCTTCTCCTTCTGCACTTATGCTTTTCATTGTTCTTTTGCCTTTCCGATCGTCTGTATTATCATTGTCAATCACCTCGCTCGTTCTTGACCCATGATTGGTTATCATAGTATATCATAGTTATCATTTTCAATGTGGGACTCACAAAAAATGTCATCCCTTCATGTCATCTGCACCATCTCCGAGTCATCAGCATTTTGCTGGTCGGTTATGGCTGCCCCGTGGTAGGTTCACCAAAAGCGCCAAGGTTTGGGCCCCAGGTCTCAAGAGGCCAGAAATATGGACAAGCAGCGGAGGCTCAGGTGCCGGCCAAATGGCCATTTTGGCAATGTGAAGTTTGCGACCCACAAAACGGGACGAAACATGGAAATGGAGGCATAGCAACCAAATGTCCCAGTTTTTTTTTTTGGGTTAAATCATGTTCTTATTTCAAACAACTTGACTTGATTTGGAATGTGAAGCCATCATTTTTTCCTGCTCGGTGGTTTCATGGTTTTGTTCACCCATTCCTCGAGATGATTCATACATGAACTAAATATCTTCTGGCTGGGTTGAACATAGCAAGACCCAACAAGTGTTATTGATAACTGGGTCATTGATACATAACTGGAACTTCACATTTAGCTATTGGGTTCAATAGCTAACATTGTTGATAATCAAAATTCTATAATTCATATCTTATTATGAGGTCAACTGGTACCTCACATTTTTAATCCCCAAATTCAACCTTCGACGAAGCCTTCAACCCCCTGTCTGGTGTCCAATGTGAAAAGCCAGGATGAAGGGTGCACTACAGCCCGAACGGGAGACCGTCTTCGAGCCATTCATTTTTGCCGGGACTCAGAGAATGCAACTATTGTGCAGCGGCACCTACAAATGATTGCTTTGTCGCCCATGGAACTGGTATACAAGCTTTCTTTTGTTTCAACATGTTTCAACTATATAGGTAAAACTAGTTAAGACTAGTTGAAACCAGTTAAAACAAGTTACACCAAACAGAAAAAATACAGTCTCTTGTAATTCAACTGCATGCATCTCGAAAGAGGCGTTTTTTTTTTACTTCGATGATTTCCCCGTGAAATATGGTGATTTTCGGCAAGGCCCTGGCGCGTTTGGACTTCCATGAGCCGCGCTATGGTGCGAGACGGTCCCCAGTGATGGAGGAGGCCCCCGAGAACCGCAAATCCCTCCTTTCGCCCACACGCAACTTTTGCAGGGTTTCCAAGTACATTGAAGAGCGATATTGACTGGCGTGTTGAAGGGAGTCTTCAAGATGTTTCAACAGAGTTTCTAGGGAATCATTAAATCCCCACCCCGTTAAACTTTATGTTGTTGTTGTTGGCGCGGGCAAGAGGAGGGGTTTGCCCGCGTGGTTATAATTATTTTTGTTTGAAAATATATACTTATTTTGAGACAGTTATTTCAGGGATCCTGAGTTTTTTCCCCATTCGGAGGGATCAAGCATGGCTAAACAAATGATTTTCCCTGCGAAATATTGTGATTACAACTCCAAAAAGGGGTTTCTACTCATTCTTGGCCAGGAGAATGCCATGCACTTAGCATTATATACATAATTATGGATTCGTTCAAAGGCGTGAACATCATCAACTGGTACGAAAAACCGCTTGTATACCTTTTCTGAACTAGAAATCTCAGCATCAATTGGCACCAGGTGATCAAGGCTAAGAAGGAGCTGATTCGGCCTGGAACTCAGGGAAAGTTTCAGTTCAGTTGGGATCTTCAGGGTATTTTGGATCTTGTGACATGCTTGGGATATTGTGGAACTATCCGTGCTATGTCCGTTGTGGATCCCAGCCATCTGGTGTCAGCTTGAAGCCAGCTTTGACAAAGGTGGCTTCCTGATCCACCACCACCTCTCCCACATGTGGCAGCCCGGCGTGGGCGCAATGCCGCCGGGCGACTCAGAGCTAGGAACATGATGTTGGCATGATCAGGTGACAGTTTCAAGCTGTGTTTTGGCACCCCAAATTGGATGGAATGACACATGGCGCACCCGGCGCAACTTCGACGTGAAGTCACGGCTTCCCGCTGCACTGGAATGACATCATCGATTCTCAGAATCAACTTCCAAACAAGCTCTGGTTCCGAACGTGCCGCTAGGTATTGACCCGTCGACTGGTGAAGAAAGCGCGGCACACCACCGCGCAACGCTTCGAGCCAGAGGCCGGCCGGACTGGGATGGCCTTGCAGCAAAAAACTGTTTTTCAACAAGAGGTGAGGCTGTTGCCTCAGTTCAACTGCAGGATGAGGCAACAGGTTGAGGAGTTGGTTCATTCATGTTCATTCATTTTTTCTAAATTTCCACTGGATTCCACTCACTTTTTCAGATTTCTGGTCCACGGATTGTCGCACGGCCATCGCCAGGATGACGGTGACCAGAGCCCTGGGCAGCTGATTGTGCAGCAGGACTTGGCAGCCATCTTTCTATCTTTCGAGCCATGTTTTTCGTGGTTTTGGGGCTGCAGTATTTTTGTTCCATTACCCTCTGGTAAACTCACATAACTATGGAAAATCACCATGTTTAATGGGTAAATCAACTATAAATGGCCATTTTCAATAGCTATGTTAAATTACCAGAGGGTAAAAGAAAGGACACTTATTTTCTAATTTTCCCAACCAATGAAGGTTTTGGGGTACCTACTAACTTAAGAAAAAACAACGATGTGGCCCCGTGAGGACGGTGCAGAACTCGACGATGACGAGTTCCAGCACTGGCTGAAACGCACGCGAGAAGCTCAGGCTCCGTTGACTCTGCGGGAATCTCGACCGCCAAATGAAATTGAAGGCTCATTTTAACAGGGAAACTATGAGGAGATGATGCAGATGATGATTAACCAGTAGATGGAACGGGGTACCAATTTTGAGAAAACAAACCGATACCACAAGTCTTGAAGAGAATCGAGATCCAACTTTGAGATACTTTATAGACATCTGTATAACATTGTATAACAGTTTAGTGCTCTGATGGCTTTCTTCTTTCTGCTCTGTTGGACCTGAAAACCCGAACTGAGGTTTGCAGTCGAACAAAGATGGGTGAATCAAAGCCTGTAGGAATTTGCCGGCCAACGATGATTGCCAGATTGTGAGATTTTTTTATCTACGTCTATGTACTATGTTGTTTGCATGATACATTCATAGATGTAAATGCCAAAAACCGACTTCGGTGAATCAAGAACCTCAAATCATCTGGCGGCAAGTACTTGCAATTCTGTGTCACCTCCATTGTATCCATTGTTTCACCGTTTCGATGCACCATGCACAAGCTCCACCCTAAACTCCTCCAACCCCAAAGGGAGCCAACCTGAATGCAGAAGGATACCATTTGAAATTCTATTTGAGCATGCTCCAGTTTCACGAATTGATCATGCCCTGCAGGGGATGCTAACGATGTTGGAGTTGGTTTGCGAACGAACCCGTTCTCAGCGTTGGAAATGGAGACGGAGAAGACAAAAGCCAACGATCCTAAGCCAACTCCATTTGCACGAAGTTCTGTAGATTGCAGGATAGTACCAGTTTGCTCTGCAAATGCATGGCAGTCAAAACAAGTCGCTCCTTGATGGATAGACAGGATAGATTGGATTGACCCTGCATGTTCAAGAGAGCCTGGAACGAACGAGCTGGAACCATTCACAAGCCGCCAACGATTTTTGCGAGATAATGTCAGGCCATGTCCATTTGTTCTCTGCGTAAGAAAGCATAAAAGGATATCAAAGGCAGGTTCCCCTGCGGTAGCCTGACTGCCACCCCTGGTGCGAAACGATTGATCCGATGACAGGGCAAGAGCATCCCCAAGCGAAATGTGGTGGAGAAACCGGCGCCCCTAAAAGATTTTCAGCAACTCTGTGAGTTAATAGTATGGAGGCATATGCATGGGTCAATTGCTTTACGGGAAGAGATTGGATGCCTTCAGCCGGACAAGGTCCCACAGTTTTTTTTGAGTCCGGCCGGTGTCATGCTTTTGTGGAGGGCATCGGAGGAAAGTGTTACAGTGCCAGGTGTTCTTCCACCCAACCCAACATCTCACACATCTTCCGATTGGAGCGGTTTGCATTGGCACAAAGACAAGCGACATAGTGACATCGTGTAAATGACATAAGTGTTGAAGGCACATGTTCTCAAACAATTGAGTACTTGTACGATGCAGTATGCTGTGTTGACTCATTGATCACCTCCAGGCTGTATGCAAGAACACAAAAACACATATTATTCTAGGAGTCAAGAGTATCCTTTAGCAATTTAGGTTTTGTGCAAGTTGGATCGGATTTGCAGTTTTGATCCATCTTGCGCTCGAACTCAAGCCAGAAATCGAGGTCCCGAAAGGACACAAAGGACTCGCAAAGGAACACAAGGTTTATTCTCCTGCTTTTCCAGCCAGGGCCGTTTCCAGCACCCCAACTCGCAACGTCAGCTGCCATGAAACCGCAATGAAAGCTAAAACCGCCAGGGATGTTTGGTTAGTACCGCACAAGGCGGTGGCGGAAGTTTCAAAAATAGGAAACCTATAGTAGAGGTTGGTTGTTGTAAATCACGGATGGCAGAGCGAATCCACTGATGGACCGAAAGGTGGTTGGCGTCGTGTTTTTTGGAGTGGTTGCAATGGTTGCAGTGGTCACCTCACCACAACTGCTGGATGTAGTGTGGTGTAGTGCAGTTGTAGTTGTAGTTGTAGTGTAGTGGAGTTGTACTTGTAGTGTAGTGTAATTAGCGTAGTTGCAGTTGCAGTTGCAGTTGCAGTTGTGGTGTGATGCAATTAGTGTAGTGATGTGTAGCGTAGTGTACTGTAGTGTTGTGTGCTGTAGTGTGGCGTAGCGTAGTGTAGCCTAGTGTAGTGTAGTTCAAAGTAGTGTATATAGTTGTAGCGGTAGTGTAGTGGAGTGTAATTAGTGTAGTGTACTGCAATGTAGTGGTAGTTGTAGTTGTGGTGTATTAATTGCAATGTAATTAGTGTAGTGTAGTGTTGTGTACTGTAGTGTAGTTGTAGATGTATTTGTAGTTGTAGTTATAGTGTACCGCAGTGTAATTAGTGCAGTGTAGTGTAGTGTAGTGTAGTGTAGTTGTAATTGCAGCTGCAGCTGTGGTAGTTGTAGCTGGTGTAGTTGTAGTGTAATTAGCGTAGTGTAGTGTAATTATATAGTGTAGTGTCACATCGCGTAGTATATTTGTATTTGTAGTTGTAGTAGTAGAAGAAGTAGTAGAAGAAGTAGAAGTAGAAGTAGAAGTCGAAGTAGAAGTCGAAGTCGACGTCGACGTCGTAGTAGTAGTAGTAGTAGTAGCAGTAGTAGTAGTAGTAGCAATAGTCGTCGTCGTCGTAGTAGTAGTAGTAGTAGTAGTATCAGCAGTAGTGTAGTGGATGTGGTAATGGTAGCGGTTGTAATTGTAGTTGTATTTGTCCATCTGTCCATCTGTCCATCTGTCTATCTGTCTACCTGTCTATCTGCAAGTTTGAAAACGAAGCTATTCTGTGAGATTTCCTAGGTTTATGAACTTGACAACGTCAAAAACGAAGCAATTCTGCGAGACTTCTGCGTTGGCAACGTCGAAGGTTTTCTCGCATTTCCAAAAACGACGGCAGGTGTGGGACATTCGAAGAGGATCTGGAAAGATGCATTTCGCATGGCAGGCGCTGTACACAAGACATGTTCATCAGAGATGTTAGGAGGTCAGGGGCTGATTTCTTGAGAGGGGTTGCATTTTGGAGCATCGGATCTTCAGGTTTGCTAAGATGATTTTGCGTGACAGGTGCAGCACTTCGTATGATCTGGCATCACTGTTGCGTGGCAGGCGCAGCACTTGACACAGATGGAGTGGAAAAATCGCAAAACGCACTGGCACAGCTCTGCACTCAACTTTCCATTTTGAAAAAAATCTCGCAGATTTGCTTCGTTTTTACGTTTTTGCTCACTTTTGACAAGGTGCACAATCCCTTGCGCCAGCCACGCGAAACGACATCTGAACGTCCAAAAGTGACTCATACCCGTCACTTTTTTGCACTTTTGGCTTGGAAATGTTCTTCGCGCCACAACGGCGTGCACTTTTTGCGAAATCTCAACTTCCAAAAGTGCTCCGATGCTGGTGTGTTTTGTACATGTTGACTTGGAAACGCGCTTTGCGCCACAACCGCGCGCGCGTTTTTTCGACATCTCAACTTCCAAGGGTGCTCCGAGGCTGAGGTGTTTTGTGCATTTTGACTTGGACATGTGCTTCTCGCCGCAACGGCGTGCAATTCATCTGGTGGCTCCGCGCTCGCCGCTTTAGCGAGCCTACTTTTCGACCCTCCGGAGCCACAAATCATTGGAAAAAGTCAGTGAACCGTGACTTTCTTACCTTTTCAAGGACCTGGGTCTTCTTCTTCTGATTTTCTCTTCTTTGATTCCCGAATGCGTAGCAAGGGTTCCCGTTTCACTCTGGGGGTCTGGGGGCTGAGGGTGTGTTCGCTCGACGTTGCGTTTGTGGTCGCAACCGTTCGCAACCGTCCGCAACCGTTCGCAACCGTTCGCAACCGTTCGCAACCGTTCGCAACCGTCCGCGCGATCCCCGTATGGCCGTGCCTATGGGAAGTTCTGCAGGAGGGGTCCTTTTTGGAGGTTTCAGACGTGTCGTTGCTTCGTTTCGCGTGGCAGGCGTGGCACTTCGTGGCATTCAGACGTGTTCTGGAACGTGTCGAAAGTCGTTTTGCGTGGCAGGCGCAATACTTTTGCGACGTTTTCAGAAGATGTGTTGCAGTTTTCGTGGCAGGCGCAGCACTTTGGACGTGTCCATCGTCATTTTTCGTGGCAGGCGCAGCACTTTAGACGTGTCATGTTGCGTGTTTTTTGCAAATCGCATTGGCAGGGCTGCGTCAAGTGGCGACAAGGTGCAAATTCCGTGGCAGGCGTGGCATTTTGTGCGATGTGCTGAAAATTCACGGAAGCCTCGCACGAAACATCGATTTTGAGGTTGCAAATTTTCAGGTTCTAAGGAAAACTCGTAGGAAAACGTCGATTTTGAAGCTACAAAGTGTGAAAATTGGAGGAAGTCTCGCGCGAAATGCTCGTTTTGGTGCTTCCACCTGTCTCGTCTCGCGTGTCTGGTTTTCCCGTGGCCTCGCCGTGTCTATAGGGGAAGGTGCAAAACTTGTCCTTTTGTCATGTTGCCAACTGTGAAAATTGGAGGAAGTCTCGTACGAAATGCTAGTTTTTCTGCATCCACGTGTCTTGTCTCGAGTCGCTGGTTTTCCTGTGGCGTCGCCGTGTCTATGGGGGAAGCTGGAAAACCTGTCCTTTTCGAATGTTTCCAAGCAAGGTTGTCATGTTGTTTTGCGTGGCAGACGTGGCACTTTCTGACATTCCAACCTGTTTGATGATGTTCACACAATTTCAAAATTGGAGGAATTCTCGTAGGAAATGCTGGTTTTTCTGCATCCACGTGTCGTGTCGCGAGTCTCTCGTTTTCCTGTGGCGTCGCCGTGTCTATGGGGGAAGCTGGAAAACATGTCCTATTTGAATGTGTCCAAGCAGGTTGTCATGTCGTTTTGCGTGGCAGGCGTGGCACTTTCTGACATTCCAAACTTGTTTTGCATCGTGTCGAAAATGTCAAAATTGGAGGAAGCCTTGTACGAAATGCTGGTTTTTCTGCATCCACATGTCTTATCTCGAGTCGCTGGTTCTCCTGTGGCGTCGCCGTTCCTATGGGGGAAGCTCCGCACTCTACACTTTACACTCCGCACTCCACAATTGACACTTTAAACTCCACACTGTACGCTTTACACTCCACACTTTACACTTTGCACTTTACACTCCTCACTCCACACTTTACACTCCACACTCCACACTTTGCACTCTTCACTCCACACTCCACACTTTACACTCCACACTTTCCACTCCACGCTCCTTACTTTACACTCCGCACTTTCCACTCCACACTCCACACTTTACACTCCACACTCCACACTTTACACTCCTCACTCCACACTTTACACTCGTCACTTTACACTCTACACTCCACACTCTACACTTTACACTCTACACTTTACACTCTACACTCCACACTCTACACTTTACACTCTTCTACGCTCCACACTTTACATTTTACACTCCACACTCCACACT